GCTGATAGAATGTTTGGGGAGACTGTTTTTTTCCCCGGGCGATTGGTTTCCCTGTTTTATCATTTATAATCACAATTGAAGAGAAAATAATAAATGAAGTACTAAATATCTCCCAGAGCTCAGGCAGTTCCAGAGCAGGAAAGGGAACAATGGATCTTTGACCCTTCCAATGTATTTTGGAATACTAATGCTTAGAAAGCATAAGAGACAGTTGTCAAAAATGTAAGACAGCAAAGAGTTCTCATCCCCTGGGTACAGATCCATAATACACCGGCACCATGCACTGGTCTTTAGATCCAACGACCACTCTCCCTTTGGTGGCACGCCCTTAATTCGGCCTTATATTCTGTCCCCTTTCATAAATACCAAGATATGTCCTGGGTTATTTTACAAGGGTTCTTTAAAAAGTTTGTCAAAAATCAAATTGCAAATTTATTAGTATTTTTTTTTTTAAATCCTGGGTACGTGGAATTCTCAAAAAACTCCTGAAAATATATCTGAGGGAAAAATTATTCGTGGCTTTTGAAAAATTTGGGGGCACCAATATACTTCCACTTTCCCTCTTCTGCTGTTTGAAGTATCCTCCCATTTGCCTAATCATATTTGCAGCAAATGAAATCAGTACTTTTCTCATGATCCAAGTAAACAGAGAAATACTAGATACTCAGTCATAAGCAAATCACCCACTTGCTGCGACGTGTTTTCTATCTTTGAGACAAAATAACAGGTCTTGGGACAGGACATATTTTATCAGCTCAGTGATTGTTTTTTCTCCTCCTAAATTCATATCTTGGTATTTTGGATTAACGTAAATTGTACTCTCAGAGTAACTGCCCTAAACATTATCCAAACGCAAGAGGTTTCAACAAGAATGCTTGGTCAACATTTAACAAATAATACTTAAATATGCTTAATTTATATGATCATGAAATTTAAACTTCCAGAGGAAGAAAAACATGAAGAACAAGTAATGCTACAACTCACCAGTGATCAGGATACAGATTAAAATGCCACAATACAATGTCTGTTTACCTGCTCTGAGAGGGAAAAATAAAGTCTGACAATATCAAGGATTACTGAGGACGTGCGAAAGGAACGTAGAGCAGGAACTGCCACCACTTTTGAAATGAAATTAGCATTTCCATTTTCAGAGACACCCTCTAAAATCCCGGACATGTGCAGCAGAAAAGCGAAAGAATGCGCACTGTAGTTTTGTTAGGTGAGCAGAAACAGAAGGATGGATAAACAATACATGAATGGCTGTAGGCAACAGCATCCTACAGGAGCTATTATATTTATTGGTCACCAAGTGGGTGTAATTTAAAAATTAGCCACAAAAACTCAAGTTGCAAAACAATGTAATACATACATGAGATCGTTTAACTAAAGGTGTGAATCTGAAAAGTAATAATGCATAATGCTTATGTTGGTGGATGTAAAAATATGCAGTAAAAGTATAAAAAAAATTTCCTAGGAAAGAAAAACACTGCATTCATCATAGTGATTACTTCTTTATGGGAAGGAAGGGGTTCAGGGAAATGGAACCTAGGGATCCTCATCCATTCCTGCAGTCAAAAATGATCTACAGCTGACAATGCAGACCACGACTCCAATAAAAACAGTGTCAAGTAGGTGTAACGCTATGGTCTATGCTTGTCTGTATTCTTGAAATATAGCAATAAAAGGGGGAGGAGGAGCAAGAAAATGCATTCTAAGGCACTACCACACCCCTAGAACTAGGCATAGGTCACAACTGTGAACTGGAATGGGGTTGATGGCCTCATCTGAGTTACTAAGCAGCTGTGACTGGGTGACACCACTTGTATCCTCAGTCAGAGACCTTCCACCTCACCATACCAAGAGCCTTAGGAGTCACTACCTGTAGCCTATAGCCAACATCACTGTTAAAACGTATCTCACTCAGTTTCTCATTCTTAGGATTCATAAGTTGTCTAGGGTTATTACGAAGAAAAAGTGACTCTGTGCGTTGAAGGGCAGAAATCCAGATAAAGCCACAGTACAAATCAGGACATAAGGTCATTTCCCTGGGTCCAAATGAGACTTCCCCAGAGAGCCTCTCCCCTAGATGACCGACAGTGGGGCTGGGGCAGGAGGCTCCTGCTGCCACAAGGACACAAGCAGCAGCACCAAGCATTGGTACTGCGAAGAATCTATACCGGCATTAGTCCTCGGATTATGAGTGTCTTTCTAAAAGTAATATTTTCAACAGCGAAATTAGTATGAGGTGCAATGAAGTTTGCAAAACAAATTTTAGATCATGGAAATATACTAAGAAACCAAGATGGCTATTCTGGTGGTCTCTGTACAGATGAGAGCTATTTAACAATCTTCTTAGAGACTATTAATATAGTTACACAAGTAAAGCATTGGATGTGCTTTTATTCCCTTTTAGTGCTTAGCATATTTACCAAAGTAAAAATTACTTTTAGAGGCAATAATTCCTTTGGAAATAAATCCACAAAACGAAGACATCAACAGTAAGGACAGCTGCTAACATTTTCTGAGTACTTACTATGAGCCAGCCACTGTCCTGAGCACTGTTCAAGGGACTGAATGGCTTGCACTGAATCATTTCACACGCACACAACCAAGTAAGCTCCAACAGGCACGAGTCTTTGTGCTACACAGACACAGCCTCACCACTACGCCGAGTCCCGTCTAAATCAGGGACAGTGAGGCCACGGATGGACATTGGTCATAATTACTGTCCTGGATGAAGACTGCACTAAGAAGAGTGGAAGCAAGCGGCCTAAATAAAACATCTTTGGGACATGCCCACATGAGCTAGAGTTGAAAGAACACACGCTCAGCACTACGAGCAATCACAACATCAAACCATTTGATTAGAAATGATTAACAATATCCTGTGTGATTTGGACACTACTAAGACGGTCTTGCCTGCGGCTCACCTCCAGCCTCTGCAATGGAATGAGAGCGTTTTGACAGTTGTGCTCTGGAGTCCCTGACCTCTCGTCTCCAGCTAGATGCTTTCTGCCTTTCCCAGTTTCTTTTCCACATGTGAACAGTGGCTAGGGGGACTCTGTTAGGTCTAAGGCACCTTCCCACGCTAGGATGTGATGTCACTTCTGTACCAACTGGGTTGGAGAACAGCCCAGAGCAGGGCTTACCCAGGCACCAGCAGAAGTGAATGGATGGATATCAGATGGCTGAGGACCCAGGCTAGGCTGGGCTTCCCAAAGCTACTCAACTCATACATTCATTCATTCAATTGAGAATAAACAGCTCATACATTCTACTGTGTGCTCAGTGGACAACACGATAAAAAATGTATCACAAAGCTCAATGTACAATGTCATAACAAAACGTGGCAAGCAGCAGGTTAACACGGCTAACAAAGTGTCTCCTAAAACTCCAAGAAGAGTTTTGAAGATGAGTGAATGGAAACTTGACATTTGTTATACTTAGGAAAACATGCTTCTAGAGTAAGGAAATTATAAGGACAGGGAGCATTTTTTTTTTTAATTGTAAAGATAAACAGAGAGGAGGAGAAGCACAGAGGAAGATCCTTCATCCTATGATTCACTCCCCAAGTGGCAGCAATGGCCGAAGCTCAGGCAATCTGAATCCAGGAGCCAGGAGCCTCTTCCCAGGTCTCCCATGAAGGCACAGGGTCCCAAAGCTTTGAGCCATCTTTGACTGCTTTCCCAGGCTACAGGCAGGAGCTGGATGGGAAGTGGGGCTGCCAGGATTAGAACTCATATCCATATGGTATCCCGACACATTCAAGGTGAGGACTTTTTAACTGCTAGGCTACCATGTCGGGCTCTGGGAACATTTTTATAGGTTGAATATTCATTATCCAAATATGTGAGAACATAAGTATTTCAGATTTCAGAAATTCTTCTGATTTTAGAATATAAGCATATACGGATGGAACCCAAGTGTGAATGCAGTAGCCACTTATTTTTCACACATGCTTTATTCTTATGGCCCGAAGGCAGTATTACTCGGTATTTCTCAAGTTGTGTGCATTGAACAAAGCTTCCTGGCATAGAATTTTCCACATGGCATGACATATGGCACACACAAACAAATAAAAAACAGCTTGGGAATTTGGAATGTTTAAAATAGGGCTTGGGATATTCAGGCCTAGTTCTTTACTTTTCTCTAAAGTAGAACAACAACAACAACAACAAAACCAACCACAATAAAAAACAAGACACAAACAAAAAACCCAAAAGTCACATTACTAGTCCTGAAACAGGTAAAGAAATTCCTATCAGGTGTAAGAACATGACCAGAGGAAATATCTTTAACAAAGTTGGAATCAATCTTTCCCCATCTTTTTTCAACATGAAATGATCTGTGCTTAATAGTTCATTAGCATCATTAAAGTAGGGCAGGTGCATGAGGGGAAAAAAAAAAACATGGGAAATACAAACAAGTGTACAGAGACTAGAAAAAGAAGTCACAGCCTCTTTTTATTATATTTGTACAGATTCGTAGGTTTCATGAGTCTATCTTAAGGACTGCATTTCACTGATGTTTTATTAAACAATTGGTGCCTAAAAAGAAAACCAGATAATGAGACATAAAAATGGAAAAACTATGAATCAAGCACTAAATTGAATGTGTTTGTAATGTACTTTTTGTTTGCCACAGACTGTGTAAGTAAATGCGGGAAGAGCAGTCAAGAATGTTACAGAACAAAACTGAAGAAACATCAGGATTCAAATAATACTCGAAGATAGAGCTAAAACACAGTGTTCCGAAGTTCAGCTGAGCACAAAAGAAGGTCGGGGGGGAGGGTTCATCCCCAGCGACTGCAGTCAGGTGCATCCTGTCCTGTTCTGAGACAAACGCCTAGTAAACCTAAGACTGTCCAAGTACTTATCCGATCAATGACCTCAGCATACGACAAAGGAGAGAAGGTAGTTAGGCACCCACACACGTTCCCAGGGATACACCTGTGGGCCCTAAGGGAGTGCAGAGGGCTCCACTGTTGGGCCGGCACCAACCTGTTGGAAAGGCCGAGTCTGCGCTTGCCTGAGGAGGCGCTGTTGCTGCTGCAGGAGTTTCATCTGTAGGAGCTGCTGCTGCGAAGTGATGGTGTGCAGGGAGGGCGGCTGCATCACGGCGCCGGAGCGCCTCTGCAGCATGTTGGACAGAGCCTGTTTGGTATTGGAGGGGACGAAGGAGCCCGCAGGGTCCAACCTGGAGCCACCTACAAAAGCAGCCAAAGGAAACGGTAGTTTCTAAGTATGTGAAAGAATCAAGTCTGTCCCCTGTATTTTATGGAAACAGAGATGTCACCTTTTAAGACCAAAAAGACAATATGTACGGCCCCACCTACTGCAAAGGACAAAGATCTGTTAAGAGCAGTGTCATCCGCAAACACTGAGGAGGACCACACTGGAGTGAACTATACTATTCCCATAGGATTTCACGGAGTCTGTACTTCAGCTGATAAACTACAATGCCTGACACAAACAGAAACTGGCATACCTTCAGAAGCATGTGGGTTTCGATGAGGCAAAGCTTCCAGAAATGAAGTACTTACATAGAACATATTGCCTTTCCTTGAGTTTTGCCAAAACTCAGCAGAGAATACCATTTGTAATTGTAAATAAATCTAAAGTTCATGTTTTTTCAAGTTTCTTTTCTCTGCTTTGTAGTAGAAAGGCATGAAAGTAATTTCAATACTTTGCAATGCTCAGAAATTTCAGCTACATGAAATACATAAATGTATAAACAAAAATATATGTTATAATACTTAAATTATATAAATGTACGTTCTATATAAATATATACAATATTTCTGAAATTAAGGTGCATGTGTGTGATTACTGATCCTCCCAAACCTGAAATCCATGAAGAGTTCTTTTCCACCACTTCGTCCGTGAACGCAGGATCCCTCATTCCGTAAATTTTAGAAATCTTCATCTTAGCTACAAAACCTGAGTCTTGGCCAAAGCAAAGTAACATCAGGAGCACATATTACTGATATGGTATGCTCTGAATCTAGTTTCTGAATTCTTTAATGTTATAAACAATTTGAAATTTAGTGTGATGACACATGAAGCTAATTTGCCACTTGAGATGCCAGCCTCACATGCTAAATGACACGTTTTGCCTAGTCAACCTTTTCCTTCTTTTTCTCTTAATTTATCCACTGATCTATTTCAGAGGCAGATTTGCAGAGAGAGAGAAAGAGGGTTCTTCCACCCATAAGTTCACGTCCCTCAGCAATCGAGGCTTGGCCGGCTGAAACCAGGTGCTCCATCAGAGTCTCCCATCAAGAGGCGCTGCCCAAGCACCTGGGCCATTCTCTGCTTTACAAGGCCGTTAGTAGGGAACTGGGCTGGAAGTAGAGCAGCCAACTTAAGCCTGGAGTTGCAAGTGGCCGGATCCCTGGTAGCTGGCTTAGGAAAGCAACAGAAGGTGACTCCAGTCCATGGGTCCCTGAAGCCCCTGGGTGACTTCTGGGCTCCTGACTGTGGGCTGGATCAACCCCAATAAGGCCGCCATGGGGAGTGAGCCATTGGATGGAAGATATTCTCTCTCTTTCTCCAATTCACCCATTCACTCTCTGATTTACATAAATACTTAAATCGATTTTTTAAAACGCTCACAATATGAGAAAGGACGCTGTGCAACACATTTCTTATGTTTTCAATATCCTTTAGTAGCAGGCAATCTTGTCCATCGTGGTCACTAGACTACCCTAGCATCCATGATAGCGTCAGATGCGTCGTGAAGCTCAGGAGATTTGGGTGGCTGGATAACTGAATCCCGCACCAATGGTCACATAGAGGTATAGAGAAATTTAGATGTGATCAATGTTACACAGCAATGGAGTGGTGGAAGCCGATTTGAATATAAAACTCTAGCTCCCCGATCAGCTCTTTTAATTAAGGATTTAGGTGACAAAATAGGGATTCTTCCCTCTTCCAAACCAAGGATCAAATCTTTCCTGTTACAGAGCTCAAAATTTTATACTTAAGGAACAACAACAACAACAACAACAAAAAAAACCCCAGAAAATAATAGAAAAAAATATGTTAAAACAACTTAAAACAACAGACTCTTCTTTAAATGATGCAGACCACGATCAAATTTAAACATGTTCAGGAATGTAAGCTTTCATATAGAAAGAATATTCAATTCATTTCTAATTAACAGACAGTCTTATTCAGAAAATCTTCACTTGAGCTATCACTGTTGCTACATGAGTTTGAAACATAGCAATGCTAAAATCAGGAACATTCTTGGATCTGCTGAGTATTAAGCAAATTTCTGAGCTGCTTCTTTTTATAACGAATTTGTGGTTAACAGTGTAACAAAGGACATTGTTCACAGCACAAAACTTTTGTCAACTTTGTATGCCACAAATTAGGGGACTAGTGTTACAGCACAGCAGGGTATACCCTGTTAGCAATGCCAGCATCCCACGTAAGGTGTGATTTAGAACCCTGCCTTCTCTTCAGCACTCAGCCTTTCAAACAAATGGATCTTTAAATGTTAAAGCTTGATTCTGATCAGCAGCTAATTTCCTTCTAACGCTGAATGAAAATTTTCAAATTAGTACATACACTCATAACTACAAACTGACCCTAAAAAAGGGGGAAAACTTGGGGATCAGAGACATCACAGAAAAATACCACCTGAGTAGAACTTGTTAAGAGGTTTCAAATCCAAAGCACAGAGAACCCCAGGCTGTTGCTCACCTAAAGCGACCCAACTCTGCTCAGCTCACACATACCTGCACTGAGAGACTGGTTCTGAAGGAAAAAGCTGGGCTGCTGGGGCTGGCCCATGAGGTTGTAGCTCCACAGGGTGGACGGTGGATGGTGCATCGCTTGGGAGGAAAGCGGAGAGTAATTCGGAGGCACTCGGTATATGTTGCTCTGTGGATACTCCTTCAACATCAATTTGAAAAAGAAGAGTGTTAGGTCCATATGCCACACAGCAAATGAATGCAACTCCTTCCTGTTAGTTAAGATATCACCCGTCCCTGTGTAAAAACGCTGCTCCTATATAGCAGACAAGAGGGCTTTGGTGTATTCTCTGCAAAGCTTTCATTCAAGTCCACATTTTTTGCATGGCTTGAAAAAGTATGTGGCTTATGGCGGACAGATGGTAAGGGATCCATATTAGACTCTTTCTAATACTAAAAGTACACTTGGTACTCCAACGCTTAACGAGGCCGCAACTATGACAGAACATTTTGTATTGGTAGGCCTCGGGATCATTGCATCTAAGAATTCTTCCTGATGTTGTTTTTAGCTGAGAGTTATGACAGCAGGCCCAGAGTGTGGCAGAACCATTCCAAGATGGTGTGTCTGACAGCACTCTGCAGAAGCGGACACGCCTTGGTCCTATGGGCCTCCTGCGCCTCGGAGCAGCTGTGAAGTCTCTCAGGACCATCTCCCTTCCATGCCATCTCTGTTCTCTTGTGCAGCCCTGGAGGATGAGGGAGAAAATACTTCTTCAGGTACCCACAATTTTATCAAATAGGTCCCAGTGAGAAGGGGCAGCAGTGTCAAGAGACAAGGAGGAGGAGGCATGTCCAGACTACATTGGGAGAAGAGATGAACTCAGGGATTGTTGTACCAGAAGGCACAGAAGGGTCTGGCTCTATTGCTCAATGGCTAAATCCTCACCTTGCATGCGCCGGGATCCTATATGGGCACCAGTTCATGTCCCAGCACTCCACAGCTGGTAACCTGGGAAAGCAGTCGAGGATGGCCTAAAGCCTTGTGACCGTGCACCCATGAGAGAGAAGCTCCTAGCTCCTGGCTTCAGATCAACTCAACTCAGCTATTTGGGGAGTAAACCCTTGAGTGGATGTATGATCTTTCTGTCATTCTTTCTCTGTAAATCATTCTTTCCAATAACAAGAGCGTTGGGACCACCCTGAATGCCCCTCTCCAGGAAATAGGAGTAACAGTAGGAAGACTCTATGAACAGAGGACACTGACATTGGAAAGGACTCTAAAACTCACGGCAGTCATTTCTGGAAAAATATTAATCAGGAAGTTATCAGCTAGAGAAACATGTTATGGTTCTGAAATAGTTAGACAATAACAATTATTGCGAATATCTGAACACTGCAATGAGAATGTTTTCCTTTGTGCAGCAGGAACACCCTTGAATTTTATAAACAAGCACCTCAACTTCCCCTAAAGTATTCTGCAGGTGAATTTATATGAGAACACCAACTCTCAAAAGTTCTAAAAGATTATTTCTCAATCCCATCTTTTTTTCCCTAAAAACATGGTGGGTAGGTGACATGTGTAAGAAAGCAAAGTTCTGTAAAGTCTGAATACAAGTCAGTATACAAGAAGGTACGATAGACTGGTAGAATACTTTAGCCCCTTGTGAACATTCTATTGGATATGTCACATGTGTCTTTATCTGGGGAATATAAAATATGGCATTTTCCAGATATTGGGGACAGATATATATTTCACCTAAAACACCTCAATCGTCTCTGACACTTGTACTGTGCAAGAGAAATAAACTCTGTAGTTCTTATGTTAGTTTCAGACCCAAGGGAATTATGAGGCTCTGAAACATTAAGTCTAAACTTGAACAGTTCTCCACAGTGGAGGGAAGACAACCATAAGCTTTCATTCTGTCCCGTCCGCAAAGTCTCGGTGTGTGACTCAGTTCAATGTTACAAGGACTCGTTTAGCTGTTGCAGGGAAGCCTGTGCTACTCCGGGCAATGTCCTGGGGGATACAACCTGGCCAGCCAGTCGTGAATCTGCTGCTGGACAGTAAAGGGCCCCCATGCTCATCACCTCCCCTACTCACATCAACTCTTGAGCTCGACTTGCTCTTCCGCTTCCTCCCTTTTGTTTTCTTCTCTTCGTCTGTGGCAGTCTTTCCCTGATCTGACAGCTCAGCTGATTTTCTCTCTGGTTCCTGAGAAACTGGAGATGTGGGCTCTTCCTCTTCCTCCTCGGGAGGCAGGGGCAGCGGCTCGAGGTAGTAGCTTCGGGGCTTGGGCCTGGGGTGTGTGTGGTACAAGAGGAGGTGACGTTGTTCCTCGTACTTGACCACCTTCCGGTCCGCTCGGACAGTTCCGAACCAGGCCCAGGACAGAGGAGCGGGGTTCCTCTGACCCTCAAACAAGTCCCACGGGGACACCTTCTGCTTTGTGGAGACCTGGAGACCCTGTGGTGAAATCACGTCATGTTACAAAACTCTCAGAGCTTCTCCTGATTCCTCGGCCATGAAAGCTCTTGGGGGGAAAGTTTGGCTCCTTTTTTGTTTGTAGATCAGTTTAAAAAGAAGCCAAAGCACACCACAAAATTCATCTTGCTGTGCTCAATTATAACCAATCATGAATCTCTGAAATGTATGGATTTAGACTGGCTTCAATACAAACCCATCTGGACTGGATTCAATACAGATCTTAACCCATACGCCAGTCTCTGGGTCAGTCAGTATGACCACCGAAAGAGATGTAAGAACAGGTACCAGCACAGATCTTCCTCTTCAGTGCTTCTCCAATGACTGAAGCAGAGGAAATGTTATTCTGTTTCATCAAACACACCTTTCAACATTAAAAGGTGATATCTCTTCTTATTTCCCCTAACTTTACCTCAAACCAGGCCCTCCCTACCCCAGATAACGACCCCACCATTTCGTAAGAGACATGTCCTCCTGTCCTTTCCACTCCTTCGTCTTTCATGGATGACAGCCTCCCGAACCAAGATTCTATCTCCGCCTGTAAACTTCCTGCTTTCCTGCGGTGTGTCTCCAGGACACTACCTGCCTGACCACAGGCCAGGGGGGTCGGTGTGTCTCTGCTCTGGAGAGCCCGCACCCAACTGGACCGTGACTCAAGCCTTTCCTCTTGCCACAGCCACACAAGGGTGAGGTCCTCGGGCTTGTCCAGCTCACCCCTGCCTCTCAGTTCAGAGGATCCTGAGCTTCATGATTCGTTCTCATGTCCTCTAACTCTATGTACCATGACACACTAGGCTTACCTCGCTGTCACTGCACAGCAGCTTTCCGGGGGAACAGGAGCCCAGCCTCTCATCTCTGTGGCTGTTCCATGTTCACCAAAACACAGTTACTTCGCCTAAAGCTTTTAAAAATCTTACATTAAAAAAAAGCATCCATCGGCCCTGGCGCGGCAGCCTAGTGGCTCAAGTCTGGGCCTTGCATACATGAGAATCCCATATGGGCACAGGTTGTAATCCCCAAGGCCCCACTTGCCCTCCAGCTCCCTGCTTGTGGCTTGGCAAAGCAGTCGAGCATGGCTCAAAGCCTTGCAACTTTGCACCCGCATGGGAGACCCAGAAGAGGCTTTTGGCTTCAAACTGGATCAGCTCCTGTCATTTTGGCTGCTTGGGGAGTGAATCATCGGACGGAAGATCTTCCTCTCCGTCTCTCCTCCTCTCTGTATATGACTTTCCAACAAAAATAAATAAATCTTTAAAAATTAAAGCATCCATCCAGTTGTGTTTGGCTGGGCAGAATATGAAATAACATGCAAAATATTTTATTTGAAATAGTTTCCTACAGGTACTGTTTTCATCAATTCATATTTTAGCTAAATATACTGTTTCCAGTTCTGACCTAAAAGTCCAAACTGATCTTCCACTAGTTTTCTTCTTAAGCTTTTCCTCTTCCTTTGGTGGAGGTGAGAAAGTTACTTAAATCCAGGAAAACATTTGTATGAAAAACTAAGAAGATGTAGACCATTTTTGATAATGCCAGTAGCACTGCACTTAGATGACAAGGCTGTATTTTGTTAACAGATGAAGAAATTGCAAGAGTGAGATGCCTGCATATCCAGACTGCAAAAAGCATCTGGCCTTTGTGAGTAGACACGTTTATTTATGAGAAAACAAAAACAAAACCGTGTACTCTTGCCTGTTTTTTGTCTATGGAGTCAAATCCAGCGATCTTGTTTCCCTTTGTGTCGATCAAGGAGCCCATAGGTTCACACGTGATGACGTCACACGTCTGCTTCGGCAAAGGGAGCAACTGTCGAACTTTGTCAATGCTTTCCGAGCGCTTTTCTCCTAGCTCCTTCTAAAAAAGGAAAAGTGAGAGTGAGTGGGAGAAGAGAGTAAGAGAAATGATGAGGTTGGCCCAAGTGAGCAGGCAGCGAGCCTCCCGATGAAGCACTTCCTTTCTGGCAGTGAGTATGTCCCTTAACCCAAAGCATGGTCAGTGGAAGAGCTCCGAGGCAGAGGGGTGAGCTTGTTTCATTTCTTCTATTTAAGTAGAAAACAGAACCCATATACACGGATTACACAACAAATGTCACAGTGCTGAAATGACAAAAATACCAGCACCGGCCATCAGAACGCAGGAGCCGTGGCACCGAACGCTTTCCCCAGTCCAGGGACACACAACAAGGTAACTTTGGTTATTTTCTACCGTCATCAGATTGGCTGCTTTTTATTTTTGGTGCTGTTTGTGTATAGTTGAATGCAAGGACTGGGTTAATGCTTAGCCAAAGGAGTCATACCTACTAGTTTCATGCAAATAAATGCTTGTGTTGTGAACCGCAAAGGCAAAAACCACACTTGGATTCATCCTAAACGGGATGTTGGTATTCTGGCTATATATTTGGTAATGGATTTCGAATGCTCTTTTTCTTTTCAAATGTTTTATGAGCACATCTCTTTAAAAAGAAACAGAGCATGAAATATCCTCAGGGTTACATGCCTGTAACTTGAGACCTGGACAGTTAAGCCATAGCAAACAGCAAAATAACCAATAACACAATAAATAAGCTTTAAAAATCACACAAGAATTAAATTGAAATACAGCGTGATAACCAACTCAGACCACTAGAACTGACAACACACAAGTCAGTGGATCAGAAACGCACCTGCAGCTTCTTGACTAAATTCATGTATGCACGCTTGTTCTCTTCCGAGCCCCCTGGGGATACGTTGGATAAGTCAGAGGCTAAGGTTCCATTGATTAGAACACCCAGCATGTCGAGAACTGTTGTGAACAGTTCACTAAGGGGGAAGAGAAAACAACTGTTCACCTTCTAGAGATACAGTCAATTAGCAGAGCATGCTTCTTCAAGGCACAGGATAAACCACCCCTCCGTCAGTCAGATGTGGCAGCATTTGTCATCAGTGTATGAGAGCTTAACCCCATGCATGCGTGCATGCAGCAAAATGCAAGGGAAGGAAGAAGGCCTACTTGTTGGTGTGCATGTCAACAGTTCCCGAAGTGATTATCTGCAGGAGCAGGAGAGCCCAGTCTGTGGTCCACTGCGTGCTCCTCTGCACCGTGTCAAACATTCCTCCCACCTGGCACACAGAACACAGTGAAAAGTTGGCCTGTTGTAAGAGAATGTAAGGCTTCTAACATCTCAGAGCCGGATGCTGATTTATTTAAAACAAAACTCAAAGCTTTGTAGATTATCTTACCATCCCTGACATTTAGCTGTACTATCATTCATCACTAGTTTTGGCTTCTGCAGGATAGCTGAGTCTTTAGAAAATTAAGTTAAGATTATGTAGGGGAATACTTGAGTATGGGCACCTGCCTAATTACACTTCTTTTGTTCTTAGTTTGTCATGATATTGAGTTCTGTAATACAACTAGCAGGAAATGAAACCTGGACACTGTGTGATCCAATTAGCTTCAACTCTGTGTTTTCCAATTACTACTGAGTCCAAGTGTGTCATCAGAAGACCATATGGAAGCAGCCAGGGACACAGAGACAGGAAGGATGCCCTTTCATATGTGGGCATCAGGTGAAAAACAACGGACGTAACAGCTGCTGAGCTACTCTCTAGAACACCTTTCCTTTGACTTTGCCCAGTGGGAGAAGGCAAATGCAAAAGCAATGCGTGACAAAGTTTAAATTTCTGTAAAACCTCCCTTCAGAATTAGTGCTTAACGAGCAAGTTAAAAAGCTAGAAAGCATTTACAATTAAAGGACTTCAACAACTGCTTTTAAATGAGTTGAAACAAGTCGTCATGTCCTAGCAGTTGTCGAGTTCCACTCTCGCACAGGTTCAAGAGGACACATTCCTGGAACCGGAGACACGGAATCAATGCTGAAAACACCTGCTGCTGTCTGTCACGGTCCAGACGGGAAGCAGAGCAGCATGGCCAACAGAAAGCTGCCAACAGGGAAGTGGCTCCAGAGGCAGAAGCGGAAGGTTTCACCCTGCCATGCAGACCTGGCGCCCGCATTGCAAGTAGAAAGGCACTTCCCCACTGTAACACATGTAAGGAGCTGGTGAGGAGCAAAACACCACAACTGCCTCTTACCAAATTCAGGCGCAACTGTAACGCTTCGTGCATCATCTGCCGTGCTTTGACGTCATCCTGGTAGCGCTCCTCTCTCCAGTTACTTAAAATCTAAAATGGAAGGAGAAAGGAAAGCAGATAGCTTTTTCTTCCAGGAAAGCTTTTTTTTTTTTTTTCCTCATCTCTAAAGTTAAACTTAGCTTTTACTTACTGACAATCAAAAGCCATCTCTAAGCTTCAACAAGCAGAGTGAAATAGTTTTTAGTTTTTTTTTTTTCCTTCCTTGACAATTCTAGTTCATTTGATCTCAAGGTGACGGAAGAAAACATAGTCGGAGAAAAGGCTTATTAACACAAACATTTAAAATGCATTATTTCATTTGTCTTACAAAAAAAAAAAAGTGTAGCAAGCAGTGTGTGCTGGGAAGGGAGAGAGCATGACAGGGCCGTATGTGTAAAGGATGACCACTGCCTCCCTAGGCAGGCCATATCTGAACAGAGCCAGGTCTTTCACGGATCGGAAGACTTGGGATATGCAAGTTATACGTGGTTTGTGTTGCAAAAGGATCGCTCTATAGGCTAAGGAGAAAAGATGTATTTGTATCTCACATACAACCTACGAAAGACGATGAGAGGGACCGAATTGTCTGCAGCCATCCAGTAGAATTCAAGAGAAAGACAAAGTGCCACAGAGGCACGGGGCACAGTGGGGCGACAGAGGGAAGCCCGGTGTGAGGAGTAAGACACGGCCTGCTCTGACTTACTGTCCAACCCGTTACCGCACTGACCGCTCCAAGTCCTCTCCCATGAGACACAGGTTGGAAGGGAGTAGGCGCAGCAAACACATCTGGAATACCCACCACTTTACTCTGTCCATATGTACACATTTATTATATGCATGGTTAATAACCTAAAAACACTCAACTAGGGATTACTAGAATGTTAGATAGAAGAACAGGTCATGCATTCTGCTTCCTGGTCACCTAACGAATGTCATTGGAAAGATACTTGCCTGGCTTGACATTATGCTAATTTACCTGGTTAACTTGGTTCTGGAGAGATGTTAAGAGGCCTTCCCGCTGTTCATCTTGTCCCTTAAGGCAGGTAAGTACCAGTGAGAGGAAAGGTTGTTGGCTCAAAAGGGACATGCTGCAAAGGAAGCAGTAACAGCAGATCGAGTTAGAAAGAATAGACAGCTTCTTGCACTTCTCTTTTCCTTCCCACCAGCTCTCTGCTCTTTCATTTACCGTTAGATACAAGGAGCAGCACAGGAGTTAGAGCACTTGAAAAACTAAAAATATTGCTACTTACAAGATTTAAGTAGATTTAACATGCTTCTAAATAATTTACTAGGCTCAAATGCCCTTGAAACCCACTGCATTGCAGCACACTGCAAGTGGGGGCTCAGGGCGACAGTGGAGAAGAGCACAAATTTGCATCTCACAGCAATAAGCAGAATTAAAAAAAAAAAAAACAAAACAAAACAACAAAAAAAAAACCTCAAAGCATATGCACAAAGCAAAATGGAAAACCAAAAATCTGACCATGCTAAGATTCATGTGGACTCCGGGAGCCAGGCCTGTTTGTGTCTTGCGTTTGTTGTGGGGTTTGTTTCTGAGTGCATTTTTCAAGGTTACACAGCAGGACAGCTTAGCTGGGATTAACCAAGGCCAGGTCTGCAGACTCCACACCAGGGTTATCTGCTAGTGCCCTCTAGTGTCTAGTCCCAGCAGTGCCCACAACCTCCTCTGCTGAAGGGATTTCAAGCATTTGTGCACGTATTCATGAAATGTCCCCAATCAGAGAGCAATCACCTGATCACACTAACAAGCCAAGCCTCTAGGAGAGCAGCATGTCAAAGTAAGAACCAGACCAAAATATTTTAACCAGTTTGAGCTTACACAAAGAGATATGAGAGATGGGGCCCTGGGAACAGCCATCTTTTAACTCAGATTCCATCTGCCCCAACCGAGGGAAGCAAGGCAATAGACAATCACCCATTAGCAAAACTAGAACTGTGTCTTCTGGCTGGTTAACGAGCAGCAGCCAAGGTGGTGAGACCAAATACAACGCTTGTCGACCAAAGGGCTTAGAAGATAAACCTGCCAGGTGTAAATCCCAGCTTCACCCCCAGTGAAGTGTGTCTTAGAGCAATGCCTGGGAGCTCCCCGTGCCTCTGTTTTCCCACCTGAAAAAAGGGTACAACAGGAGCACCTGCCAGGTGACCGCTGCCAGAATCTTAAAAAAATCTACATAGTTGAATCTCACCCAGAAATGAACATTTTGTAAGAAAAGAGGTCAATAAATGTGTGAAATACAGTATTATTATATGGCCAGTTATACAGTATAATTAGGTGAAACCTCTTTTAAGATATAAAGGAGTAAAACATTAGTTTTGATAGCTTAGCGATAGTGCTTGGTACTCCAGAACAAAAGCCTCAAGTGTTAAATTCACCTGTACCTATCTCATGGTCTAGCAGGCTGGAATTACAGTTCTGTGTGGCTTCATTTATTTTTAATTTTTTAAAAAAGATTTATTTATTTTGATTGGAAGGGCAGATTGCAGAAAGAAGGCAGGACAAAGGTTTTTCCATGTTCTGGGTCACTCCCCAAACGGCTACAACAATTGAAGATGAGCCAATTGCAAGGCGGGAAGCAGAAGCCCACTCCAGGTCTCCCAGACAGGTGCAGGGTCTCAGGGCTTTGGGGTATCCTCCACCGCCTTCACAGGCCACAAGCAGGGAGCTGGATTAGCAGCTGGGACACGAACTGGCGCACACATGCAGTGCTGGTACTCAGAGGTGGAGAGTTAACGAGATGAGCCGACATGTCAACTCCCTGTATGTCTTAAACACAAATATCTAAACAGCAATGACAACCAGAAATAGATAAATAAATTTGAGGAGTTAGCATCTGACCACATGGCACAGACACCTGCATTCCACACCAGACTGCCCGAGCCTGATTCCCTGTGTTAGCTCATGATGTCAGCTTCCTGTTAATGTTGACCCTGCTAATGACTGAACAAGTGGCTTCTTGCCATCCACAACAGACACCCAGCATCATGCTCCCAGGTCCTGGCTCCAGCCCTAGGCCAGCCTTCGCACTTTCTCTAGCTCTCAAAAACTAACTAAATAAATAAGTAGATAGATAAAACAAATGAAAGAAAGATATCAGGACCAGTTCGTGGAAGGACAGAAGGCCAGGGGACTGTGGGTGTGACAAGCCTGCATGTTGGCACGGTGTTAGACACTCTCAGCCGTTCGCGGCGGTCTCCCCACCGCTTACCTTTTCTGTTTTTGTCGGTCTCTTTCCTTTTTCGAAGAAGAGCCCAAATGCTGCCCCTTCTCCAATTCTTCCCCAGCAGCTTTCAACACTCTTCCTTGCACAGAGGTGGGCAGCCGGGCGATCAGGGGAGCCACCAGCCACACACCCCTGCGTTCAGAGGAACTAGAAGCAGACACAGGTGTTACCCCAGGAGGCATCCTTTCTCTTGTTTTAGATGTAACAGACGCACCAAAGCAAAACTGGGATGCCAATGACATAGTGTATTGCAAAATTTCCATCTTTTTTCCAGTAAAAGCTAGGGACTGAGGAGGACGGACGACAGGATGAATGCGACAGACGACAGGCAGACAGACAGATACACAGATAGATGAAGACGGACGAGAAAGACTGGGGGGCGGGAAGAAGGATGGTGGAAAGGAGACAGAGAAAATACGGGAAGAAGAAATATGGGAAGAAGGGTGGCGGAAATCAGGGCTAGAGAAGTGGCAGAGGAAAGCTTAGACCAGTGGGGACAGGAGCAGCAGAGAAAGGATTTAAACGCAGCCGCTTTTGGCAGCGAGGGGTCTGGTTGCGGCTTTTCCCGGACCCTCAAGAGCGTGCCTTGTCGTTTTAATGTCGCCGCTGCTGGGCGGCGGTGGCAATGTGGTTCTGGGAGGACAGGTTATTCTCAACTGTGCTTCCATGATTTCCTAGGATGCTGGCTCTCTGACCAGCACTGGTCCTTCTACTCAACAAAAAATAACACTTCTCTTTATAGTAACAACATGAAATGCTATTACATGTGAGCATACCTACAACCAGCCCTTAAAGCTTTTAAAATCCATTTAGTTGCACTTTGTACCAAAATGAAAAATCAAAACGAGTTGCCTATTGTGATGGAAGGGCTATTGTAAGATTTCTTATGCCTACCCATTTTAATTCTACATACAAATTGCTATGACGGGTCTTCATAAAACTCTTCATTAATGAGGATGGCAGGAATTGTCTCCTCACTGATGACGACTATGGGACACAGTGGGCCACGAAACCATGAAGAAATGGAGGAATCCCGAGTTCACCCTTGGTTCCAAAGTCCATGGGCTGTGGAGCCAGACACGTCACAAGCTAAGATATCACTCACCCACTTTTACTCTTTAACTTATACGTATGGGACATTATCTTCCTAGAGGTTCATGAAAAAACATACTGCCATCACGCCAACAAAAGCTACTGCTGCAATATGCGATGTTAAGCATGGCCCAGTAAAACCTGCAGGGACCAGTACCTTAGAAACGTCTTGATTCCATTCTGATGCGTGCTGCTTGTATCTGCACTGCCAATGCTGCTGGGGTTGAAGAGGCTCAAGCCGGGATTGGCAGAGTTGTTATTCAGCTCAGCAGACTGCTGGAACACCTCTATCGTGGCCTTTGCGATGTTGTCCAGCAGGTTGTTCATCTCGGCCACGGATCCGGAGCCCTGGAGTCAGACATAAGATCATTAGCACACAGACACACTCCCTTGTCAGTCAGTATCAACTCGCTTCTGCTTTTCGGAGAGGTTTTATACATAAACACTTTGAATATGTACGCACAGGGTCCTTCAGGCACTGTTTGATCATCAGCTGAAGCTCCAGCCAGGACTGTCTCAGCGTCCACTGCTCCAGATTCTGAGCAAAAGGGAAAGAAGCAGCACGTTGAGCAGGCAACACAGGTTAAGAGACAGGCATTCTTTGTAGTACTGACTCTCAAACAGGAGAAAAATAATAAAATGCAACATAGGCACTTACGTAGATCAAAAATCTCTAATTTGTATATTCAATATGGGCACAAAGAAATAAATAACATTAAAATGTATGACTCAGCACGGCATAGGAAATAAAGACAAGAATTTCTTTATCAAAATCTATTATCTAACCGATGACACCCCAAGATTTATTTATATTTGAAAGACAAAGCCACAGAGAGAAGGGGAAACAACACTTCCATTCATTTGCCTCACTCTCCGGATCATCTAATGACCACACAGCTACGGCTGAACCTGGCTGATGCCAGGAGCCCAGAACTCCACCCTGGTCTCTCAAATAAGTGGTGGGGACTAAAGTACTCAGGTACTTTGGCTGCCTTCCCAGGTGTAATCAAAGGAGCTGAGTCAGAAGCAATGCAGCATGGGCTCCAGTGTGGTGGCTTCATCGGCTAATCCTCCACCTCCAAGTGTCCGGTTCCATGTAAGTGCCAGTTTGTGTCCCAATTGCTCCACTTAGCATCCAGGTCCCTGCTTGTATCTGGGAAAGCACTGGAGGATGGCCCAAAGCCTTGGGACCCTGGAATTGCACGGGAGTCACAGAGGAGGCTCCTGGCTCCTGTTTTCGTGCAGGCTGAGCTCCAGGTGTTGCAGCTATTTGAGGAGTGAACCAGTGCATCGGAGTTCTTTCTCTCTTTATGTAAATCTGACTTTTGAACAAATCTTTACTAAGCAGAGGCAGCAGCACACTTGCAGTGTCAAATGGGGTGCCACCATCATAGTGGCAGCTGCACAATGCCAGCACCAACCGCCCTCCAATGCTTCAACAGGTGCCCCCATCCAAAGTTCATTTCTCATGTAAATACACTGCTGGCTTAAAATAATCACTATCTGACGACTCAACATAATTTATAGCATCTAGCTATCCAGCAATAAAGTATGCCAATTCCATTAAAAAATATATTCAGTGAAGAAAAACCAGAATAAGTTACCCAAGAATTAGCAGTAGTAAAAAAAAAAAAAAGGGGGTGGGGGGTTGGGAGTGTAATTGCTTTGTATAACCGCAAGGAATGTGTCAAGGGACAGCAGCATGGACCACTTGCCTGAAGGATGCGCTTGATGTGTTGTCTTTGCAGGTTGTCCCCCTCGGCACACTCTTTGATGCCATGAGGATAGCAGATCAGCTGCAGTAATTTCTGTGCTTGCACGTTGGAAAGCACGGGGTCCAGTATAAGTTCTTTGTCCGTGCATAGTCTCTCAGGTTCTTTCAAGCAATGTTCTCCCACCCATTCCTAAAAACACACGGCAGTTACATTGACGGGCCATGGCCTGATGGGTCTAGAAAACACACATTGAACTCACAGCAGACACGGAACCTAAGGTCAAGAAAAATCTTGCAATCTGAAATTAGGTGGAAAGCGTAGGAGGGAACAGTTTCAAAAATTTTGCTTCTAACATTTTAACTTCTTAAATATACATAGTAGAACCTTGCCTAAAGAGAAAAAAAATTAAAATAAATATTTAAAAGAGGAGAAGGAAAGAAAACCCTGGTATGTGCTTTCAAACTAAAGATGAGTTCTTACTCTAGGTATATATATTTTAATTTAAATATTTACTACGATGGTCAAAGTGTTACAGACCCAAATGGGTCATCAATTTCATTTAGGATTGGCAGGGAGGAAGGTGGGGGAGATGCTACAGTTTTCCTTCTTGTGTTCTCATGGGCAGGTTTTATTTTTGTGATCAATTTTTATACAATTGCTATACAGTGGTGATGATGCTACATCAAAAATGTTCATCATCTTGATAACAGTATCTGATGAAAGGGTTTGGAAGTAATGATACCCCATAATGATGAAAACATATTGAGCCCAGATCTTCATCTTAAAGTGGTAATCTCCACTAAATGGAAATAAAGTTCCACGGAGGCGTGGGCAATTGTTAAGAAGGGAGATACAAGATGGATCAAAAAGAAAACTCTTAAAAAAAAAAAAAAAAGATGTCACATGACATAAGATCCAGAATGCAAGGATTCCCATTGGATAAATCTGCACCAATCGGAGCATGCAGATAACCAAGAACATTCCACCATAACCCTAGCAACAAGCAGGGGGCAGGTCAGCCTCCTCTTAGAGTAGAATGCAAATTAATACTGTGCGGGACAGGAGTTGGCCAACGGTCACCACCTTCAAACCATCACGGGGCAGACTGACTAGCTTTTGGGGGATAACATAGTTTGATGAGCAGAAAGCGTAGAGGAAGTGAGTATCTTTTAAATATTGCTGATTAATTACAAGAGCAAAAGAAGTGACTGAGCAAAGGTGCATCCTGTGACACTACACTCTAAGAAATCTCAGATAACTCCGACAACACACAGTCCGCAGGTGAGGAAAACCCACTGCACTAAGGCTTAACTACTTTCTGTATCTTGGCCATATCAAAAAATAAAGGCTGATAGATTCAAAACAAAAGTGAATAAGGTACATGAATATACTGCAAAAAAAAAAAAAAACAAAGGGTATATACAGCAACATTCATGTACATGGATAAGTCTAGTTATAAAAAGACACGGCAACTTTTTTTAATTCGACTGTTTCAACATCATCCTAGAGTTCTCTATTATTTTAGCAATTTTCAAAAAAAAAAAAAAAAGGAAATGATTTCAAAATAAAGTTAGCCACAGAAATGATCACCTCTGTGCAAGTTTTCCACCAAAGCGAGAAGGCTCACTGAAAGAAGTTACATCCTCAAACTATAAAGCAAAATCAATTGGGAAAAGAAAATACCTGTTGACAGATTGTCCTCAGAACATATCTAGCATATTCTCTTAAGTTGGCAGTTTCTATGGAAATGCTTTTCCCGCAGGATTTGGAATTCTGTGAGGCAGGCCAGATGTCATCAGCATTGCCATCCCGACGCAAACCCCGTATGTTGAAGTCATCATTCTTTAAGGAGCTGACATTGTTACTGCCAATTTTGGCATCGCCTAAATAACGGAATCAGAAAGCACAATCTCAGATGTTCAGAATGCTGCCAGTTATCTGAGAAGCAAATGGGGCCGGCTTTCAGGGAGAAGTAAAGTGCGTGAACTATGAGCAGTGCTATCACTCAGCGATAGGTAAAATGGATCGAGAGCACAGATGCAAGAACCAGGGAGGCTTCCATCACACACAGAGAAAAAGCCAGGTTTAAGGCTCATTCCTTATTTTGTTCACAGAGTCAAATATACTTCCACCACATTTGATGTCATGAGTCACACTGAGTAATCACGGAACATGGGTTTCACCACTATTTCAAGCATGAATGTAGTCAAATTCACTTGATTGATAGGCAAAGAAGAAAAAACGGGTTACTCACCCTTCTAGATGTCCCTTTTGCATTTCTTCTCTTACAATGCCTTATTTTCTATCCATAGGTCAAGAGAAAAGTTTTGCCTTAGCCCACCTTACTACCAACTTCTTGACAACACAGATTTATTTCCCTGGGAATGGAAAAGGGCAACGCACACTAAGGAAGCCCTGAAGAGTAGGGTATTCATTGAATAACCCATGTCTTCCACCTTCCTCTCTGTACCGTCCAAATCGGAAAGGGTTACCCGATCAACCTCTAATAGACTCAGTGACAGGAAGGCAAGAGAAATTCTTTCCCTCCTAACAAAATTTTGTTGGGGGGCGGGGATGAAAAGGGAATGACTCAGCAGAACATGTTTGAAAATCGGCACTAAGATCTCGTCTCTAGCCAAGTCATTATTTTTAAAATGTGAAACATACTACAATCTGGAAACAGGGACTGCCAGATGACAGCAACGCCTTCAAGCTTTTGCTGATTTACCTGCAGGATTATAGTAAGCCCCGATAGGAAAATTTTCTGTAACCAACAAATGAGTTGAGGCGAGGCCGTACCTGCCTGCAGTGAATCAGTCAAATCCAGCCCAGGTCAGTAAGCACCCACAAGTCAACCAAGAAAAGGTTTTTGCAAAACCAGGATGGCTTAAGAAATTTTTACTATTCAAATCCTACGAGGAGGGGAAGGACGTGGTATTTCAATGCATTGATACACGGCACATATTCAAATGTAATAAGTACTAACTTCCCCTCGCCCACAGGAATGTATTTAATTGAGTAGGACTTTTAGGAAGCTAAAAGGACAAAACTTAAAGAACCAAAATTTAGGATGCGTTCTCCACCCTTAGGTGACATCTCTATTTCACAATACCAAGCTAATTTAATAAGTTTGCGCAAAAGTGAAATTAAAGGTAAACTTAATTTTGATGCAAAAATTTGAAAGTCACGCTTTTTTTTTTCAAGCATACATATATTATTAACAAACTTTTCAGCAAAATCCCTCACTATGCATGGATTTCTTTTTTTTTTTTTTTGCATCAAAATAAACACACCCTTTAATTCCATTTCCATGAACCATGTCAGGTTCCTTCGTATTTCCCAGTAAATAGGGGTGGAAAGGTCAATGATTGGGAGAGTGGTGGGCAAGTTAAAACCTTCCCCCCCGCCCCACCTCCAAAGCAAAGCAATCAACACCTCTGCCAGCTCCTCCTAGAATATCTTCATGCATTTCAGGTGTTGGGGGACAGAAAAGGCCTGTGAGGTGGAGCCAGACCCTACAGTTACAGCCACCACGAAGGGGCCCACCTAGCCGATGCCGTGCACCTGACCTGATGCTTTCACACCTGGACAATCCTCCATTGTCTTTAAGGAAGAGGACACATTTTAAATGGGTTCAGACAAGGCCAGCTAATCAAAAGGCCAAAGTCAGAGTTCACGCCTTATTTTCGGCTGTGAGACTCTCTGCCACGTACATGCTCACTTCCAATATTACTTTATCAAAAAGCCACTATTCGGTCATTTTTCTGATAAGTGCTACAAACACCGTGGGGAAGAAACCAGTCGCTGACTGCATACTGTCAAAAATAACTGACCAGGTGTCTCTTCCTTTAAACATCATCAGAACTTGCTGACTATATAATACTATAGGCCGTGAGGCTAGCGGAGGACCAGTGACCCTCCATGTGGCTCGACCCTTCCCTTAGCATAAACTTCCATGTGCATGTCAGAAGTATGTATGTAGATCGGTATATGTGCGCACTCACACACATCATTTTTATTGCATTTTAAGTAAACTTCTTACAATTTGTTTTGTGACAACTCTGTCATCCTTCTGTGTTATCAGCAAGTATTAGGACATGGTTACACTTTCCAGACAGCCATCTACTGTGACCCTACCCACTGGGGCAATCTCTAACCACAAGGAGCTCCTTCTGAACACACTGTTTTGGCACGCAAAGCTGGAATGAGGCAGCCTGAAATCAAGACTTAAAAGAGCATTCAGGTTCTTTTCACTGATTGAACAAAAGTGTTTTAAGGTTTCTAACACTGCCCATGATGACACCTGCAGCTTCTTTAGAACATATACAATAAGTAAGTAAAAGTCATTCTGGACATTATGGCTTAAATGAAGAAACTGCTGTAATTGTTGATCAGTAATACAAGCACCACTGCCATTATCACCTGGTTCATGAACAAAACAAAGGCAGAAGGATACAGACTCGTTCAAAATCACAACACAGACAAGTAATATTAAAATCCCAGTTTTCTGATGTTTTGTACCCGGGTGACCCATGCTTGGTCAAATCACCAAGTCTTCCCTGGTCCTCACCAGGTGCAATTTCTGACAAAAGCTGAAGGTAAAATCACCCCGTGGGCTGCAGGATCTAGCTTATATCATTTACTTAAAACACAGTGTAATTCAGGGAAGGGACACCACCCACAGCCCACTTGAATTACACTTGCAGAACATCAACAACATTTTCTAGGAGGAGAACAAACAGAAAGCACGCCTGCAAGGAATCATGATCACATTTCAACCTGAAAACGGATTATTCCTCCTGTGATTCTGATGATTAACCAGGAAACATCGGGCTAGGGCAGTCTTACCAAGCATCATAATTGCTTTTAACACAGCAAACACGGCTCCCACTTCGATGCTATTATGAGCAGCGGCTAAGAGGTGTCTATCACAGGATGACCTTATTCCGGGAAAAGGTTTGCCTAGGAAAACAATAACAAATATTTAATAGTCTCATCACCATCATTAACCATCTTTTGCAATCCTTTACAGTCAGTGGGGTCTCTCATTGTTAGACTGTGGGCGCTTAATTGCCGTTAGCTTGCAGTAAATGATGCTTATGGATTCGCTAAGAATGACTGCCAGGATGCCTCACTACCATTTTTGTTTTTAAATGATTGAAATCTTGTCATTGATCCTCACAGAGACATATTAAAAAGATTAGGCAGATCTTCAGACACTTGTGTCATTGTCACACGGGGTGTATAGATATCTGAAGCCAGATCCCCAACACCCTTGCAATGGCTGGGCTACCTTGTTCCTTTAGCCTCAGGACAAGACTAAATGAGTCACCCCTAAGCTGCTCCAGTGTGATTTAGAATCAACATACAGAGAATGCTAGAGGGCCACACTGCCCACCTGCGAGCCTTAGCTTAAGAGCAGAGGTATTCCATTGTTTATTCATGCTTGATTCGTGTTTCTCAACATACCCGGATACCAGGCCAATAAAAGGTGCTGGGAAGGCCTCTCCATTGCATCATCCTATCGTTAAGCAGCCCCAGAGGAAGCCCATGGGAGCCAAGAAGGAAATGAGGACACAGGCGGCCCACCTGGTCATTTCAGAACTTGATCACTTCCCCTCTGTTGGCTCACCTGCGGACTGAGGGAGGAAGTAGGCCTGGGGAGTCTGGAAGAGGTGGAGCAGGAGTCGACAGGTCATCCTCGCCCCGGGCTCAGCATCTGCATCCCCACAGGCTGGCAAAGGCAGATCAGAACACAAGCTTTGCAATGGATTCAGGGCAAAGTCCTTGGAGTTTTCTATTGAGCTCAATTTTCCCAGTATCTCAAGCAAGTTGTCCTTACAGCTACTAAGAACTGGTGGCCCTCTTGGGGAAACCTGAGTGCTCCCGTAAAACAGGTCATGACAAACGGCAGCTCGTCGTCTTGCCGATGGGGACCTATGGTAGTGCTTTTCTACCATGGAGAGATCACAATTCTACCATCTCCACCAGGTCGTCTCCCCACTCACCAACAAACACACTGCTTTCAATCACAAACCAGGGCTCATGTTGTGGCACAGCTAGTGCAGTAGTTGCAGGAGACTCAGGTTCATTCATAGTCCAGTTGTTCCACTTCCAATCCAGCTCCCTGCCAGAGGTCTGGGAAAGCTGTAGCGTATAACCCAATTGTCTGGACCCCTGCCACCCATGTCGGAGACCTAGAAGAAGCTCCTGGCTTCACCCTGGCTCAGCTTTGGCCATCGTGGCCAATCAGAGAACGCACCAGAGGATGGAAGATCTCTTTCACTCTCTCTATCTCATTCTACCACTCCCACTGTACCTCTGGATCTCACATAGACTTTTCTTTTCAACAAAACAGTCAGAAACCATTCCTCCAAGATAACGGGGGGATCCCACGTGCCTCACCTGCGGCCAGGAGAGAGGGGAGTGCGACGTGCTGCACGACGTCCTCGAGGGAAAAACACTGTCGTGCTATCAGAATAGCAATGAAAGTAGCTAATGAATCATGGAATGAAAGGTCACTCACCTTCAAGAAAAACATTGACAGGTTTTAATACCTAACAGCCTTTAAGTAGCGACTAAGATTAATATCTACGAGAACGTAGGCAATACCAACAAGGTCCTAATCCCAACATGGACCAATACAGGGGGTGACAACTCCGGGGGATTATTATCTCGTTGGACTATTTTTGCTTTATGAGACACAGGAGGAGGTTTACCCCTATGTCTGACACTAAAAAGGAAAGAGTTTTAACTTGTATAATATAATTTGAGAGGCAAATCAAAGCTAAATCTAGAAATCAGTAAAAGATGAAACCTCACTGATCTTTTCAGCAGCGCCTTATGTCATGTCTTGATGGTCAAACCCTTGGGGAATAAGGAAGAGAAGGGTCCCGCTAGTGGAAAAAAAGGACAGTCTTCACTAGTATACTGAAGTTTGTCAAGGCGGCAGCTAACAGGGAGCCCTTAATATGATTAATTTAGTTCTAGGGACAACTCGGGAGGTTGCCAACTGACACTCAGCTTTTAAAAGAAAGAAAAGAAAGGAAAATTAAGTCATAGTAATTTCACAGGTAGAAAGGAGTAAGGGAGAGAGCCACAATAGCAGCCTTCGTATGAGGTCGCACTGTGAACCTCGCGCTGTGCTTAGCAGATTAAGAGGAGGGAGGAGGGTCATGCTGCTACAGAGGAAAACACAGCAACAATACCCAGAAACTTCAGGGACTATGCTGAAAGGGGGGGGGAAATCTACATATATTAAATATATCAACTATTAACAGGCATCTATCTGCATGATGGAAATACGGAGACAGGATTCTCTACTGAGTCCTGATGAGTAACCCTGCAACCGAGAGGAGGATTCTAAAATGGAGAGAACTCTGCTGCACATAAGCTATTGTGGCATGTGAAACTAAGGATGGGTAGAAAGAGTGAAGGACTGACACTGGGGTGTGTGTGTGTGTGTGTGTGTGTGTGTGTGTGTGTGTGTGTGCGTGTAGTTACAACTAGGCACATCTTGAACTCAACATGACTCAGGACACTGTGAGGCAGAGCGAGTAGGAGCTCGTCATTTCCCAGGTGTGGACAGACACCCCCTAAATCTAGCACTGGTTACTCCTGCATGGCACAAGGGTATCTGTAATGTTCTTTTTGCTGTATCATATCTCCCACCATGAGGAAACCAAAGCCCCTGATAAAAACCGGAAGCAGCTTTTGAAGAGACTAAACGTGCGGAAAACATTGTAACAAACGAGGGGCACAGCTCCTCTACTCATGCTGCTGCCTGCTGACTTCTATTTTATTCCTCACGTATTTAACCCTTTGCAACTACACTGTAGTTTATTCCTTTCAGACAGGAAAAAAAAATGGTTTAAAATATCTTTTGCTTTTTTAAAGAGTCAATTCAAAAAAAAAACCTTTCCCATAGCCAAGGATCAAAGTACACAGCTAAGGTGGAAAGGAAACAGCCAACTTACATCCACGGTGCACAGCACATCATTGAACCCCCACACGTGATTTGACGAGCAACAGAGAGCCTTCAGGACTCCCAGCCACTCCGAGCTGAGCACCGTGCAGCAGGCCGTCAGCTCCGAGGAGAAATTGGCTATGTCGTTGATCCTGGGATGCAAACAAAACCACATACATAAAACACTCAGATGGGATGTAAATATCACACACGCATTTCCTGTCCTTCAACAACTTGCTTATTTTCCTAGATTCAATATACAATGAATACCCACGAGTCAACTGACGCACCAGCTGGATTAAAAAAAAAAAAAAAAAAAAAAACTGCCAACAAGCAGAACTGTGAAGCAAAATTTAACCAGTGAAAATGTGAATTAGAACTTGCTTAGTTCGGTGAACCTATCTACTCAATTTTAAGAGCATCAAGAAATGAAATGCAATATACTTAGGGAGGAACACATACAGGTCATTTTGAAAGGTAGCTTATTTTGCATTGTTACTGTTTCAGAAAACAGGTCAAAGAGTTTATAGATCGCATCTAAAACATGTCATCCAAAAATAATAAGCCAACAACTAATCCAACAGTACTGCCTCTTGGATAAACAAAATCAGGCAATGGGGCAGAGACAGCTTCAGGAATAAAAGGAGATAAAAAAAAAAAAGCCAATGACAGTCAAATGTCAGTCTAGAAAATTACTAATGATTTTTAGGTTCAAAGAAGCAGCAAGGAAACCACACACAGGTTAGTCATGAATCCCAGGTTAACCCGTCTCACCTTCCAGCATCCTGATGGCCCATACATACATTCATGAGTGTATTGCAGACAAAGCTGTAGCGGTTGGCCGCGTTGTTGCTAAGGATCTTGCCTAGCATTGAGTAGTTGATGCTGCGCGCTGAGGGATTCTCAATAAAAGTCATCATGAAATTTGGATCCCATCGCAAGTTAGAGTTTGCAGGTACCACGTTCGTATATATGGTCTGCTTTACTTTTGAACAGGCACTACTGAGGTTAGGAGAAGAATTCAAAAGAAAAAAAATTTTGAGTAACTACAATGTTATTCACTCAGGGACATACTGAATGACAACAGCTGTAATGCATTTCTATAGAAAATTCCAAATAGAAGCTCTTGATGTGAACTTAGCAACTGGACTAACATGGAGTACAGGACCTCGAATGTAGAAACTACTCAAACATGGTTGTTACATGGGTGGCAGAACTGAACAAACAAGAGACAGGTGAATACTAAACTGAATCATTTCAAAATATTTCTACATTTTATATGCTCAAAAAAAAAATCCCTGAGCCTATAGAAGTGTAGCATGAAAAACGGAAAGGAGATTAAAAATCAAAACATGAAATAATTCAAGGAAGCCTTCCAATCATTCTCTTTTAACAGTGCACTCAGTCGTACTTTAGGGGAAAATGGTACTGAAGCTTCATCCCACATTCTATGTTAATGTTTCTCAAAGTACAATAAGTATATCCAAAATTGATATGCCAAAGCCATTGTAAGGACAGTGGCTGGGCTAGACAGACAGATACAGAGAAAGGTAAAAAGAAAAAAAAAAGGGGGTTTAGTCGGGAGTGAGCAGAAACATTTACATCACACAATTTTTCCAAGAGTGAAAAAAAGAGCTACCACATCCTTGCAAAAACTTTAGTCATGATTTCTTTCTCGGCAGCATAAGAAGACTTGTAGGAACTTTTATTGTGGCGAGGGAAAAATGAAAGATTTGCTCAATTGTTTTTGAATTAGGTAGAGAATGTTCTAAGGGGATAGAAACGTATCCCTTTCAATGCTGTTGTACAGATGACACTGACGTCAGTGGAATTCCAAAGCTCACGTTCCATTTCTACCTTCCTGGGAGTTAGTGGCCGACCCGTGGCACTCTCACTCTCAGATTCCTTACGGAAACTTACTTAGCGATGCCTACTTACCACAGGTAACAGATTTATTGGCAACATTCACCTTCTGTCCAAGATCCCTTGTAGAAGGAACACTGGTTTTTTAGGCTGTTTTTTGGCAGCAAAACTTTTGACATACAGAGCTATTTGTTTCAGATTCCTAATCTTAGGCACCATGACAGAGGGAAAGGAGCCAATTACAAGAGCCTTGAAAATTAAAAAGCATACATTCTACCCTAAACGGCTGCTACTGTCAAGCACTTGCATTCAGTGTTGATTAAAGTGTGAAGTCAACCCTCCTGGGGGTTGATTCTGCGCAACCGCAGCCCCCATTCTACAGCAGGATTGGAGGAGATGCGTTCCAAGTCCCAACAATCACCTACAACTGGTCGACATATTACTCGTAGAAACGTGAACTATTTTTTTTTTTTTTTGGCATAATAGAGCAAGCGCTTCAAGATACAAATTCCTGGGGCCCATTGCAGGTGAACTGAACTTGCGTGTTTAAGAAGTTCATCCAGGTAATCTAGTTGGCAATGATGCTGGGAAAGCACTGACTTAATGGAGAGGACTAAAGCCACTGACTAATTGGCAATAATTACAATCCCAGTTTATGTAAAAAGTGCCGGTCACCACTGAAGGATACAAGTTTGAAATACGGAGTCAAGACATTTTCAAAATGAGGACCATGACGGGACCTTGTCCTTTCAAACACCTTCCATACTATGCTTCACTTCCCATAGTGAACCAGCAATGCCTGGAGCCGAGCAGATCCGAAGGCAGGAACCAGGAGCTCTTCCGAGTCTCCCATGTGGCTGCAGGGTTTCAAAGCTTTGGGCCGTCCTTGGCTGCTTTCCCAGGCCACAAGCAGGGAGCTGGATGGGAAGTGGGGCTGCCAGGATTAGAACTGGCGCCCATATGGGATCCCAGTGCATGCAAGGTGAGGACTTTAACTACTACATGACAGCACAGGGCCCTCACCCCACTTCTCACTCAACATTTTAAAGATTCTACAGGAGAGTCTGGCGTGATAGCATTGCACATTCCAGGATCCCATATGGGCACTGGCTCTAATCCCGGCAGCCCCACTTCCCACCCAGCTCCCTGCTTGTGGCCCGGGAAAGCAGTCGAGGATGACCCAAAGCCTTGGGACCCTGCACCCACGTGGGAGACCCAGAATAGGTTCCTGGCTTTGGATTGGCTCAGCTGCAGCCGTTGTGGCCGCTTGGGAAGTGAACCCTTAACACGCCCAATCTCAGGGGATCTCGGAAGCTAAGCAGGGTCGGGCCTGGTTAGTACTTGGATGGGAGATACTACTTCTTTGGAGAACAGCTATCTCTTGGAAGAAATACCAAAGTAGCATTACTTATTAAATAAAGGCATTGCAATCCACGGAATATTAAAACAAAAGGAAAAAAAAAAAAAACGCATGTTGACATAATACTACATAATGATGTAGTTTTTTTGCCATTAGTATTGAATATTAAGTACACTCTGAGTTTATAAAGTTACTATCTGATATGACCACTATTAGCTTTGTGAAGGCGAGTGTCTGCCATTGTTACATGAGTGATAAGGCAAGGGTCTCGAACACACAGAGCAAGATTCTACTTCCGTGTTTCTCCTCTACCCACCTGAAGAGGTCTCCGAATTTGCTTCTGAGGTGACTGCAGGACACATAGAGATCATAGAGGTAGGCTAGGATGCATCTCTCAGGGGAAGAACATTCTGAGGGATTCACAACATGTTTCACCACACCACACAACCTAAGGAGAATAAATAGGAAGAAATGAGATCTATATTCTGCTACCAGAAATGGCATATTGCAATCTTCCAGACAGAAAATGTCTACATCCACACATTACTTGGACAAGAAAAAAAAAAAAAATATATATATATATATATATATTCAAACTGTTCATATATGAACTATTCATACATAAATTGAATAAAACATCAATTTCTATCATGACACTGAAATACTAGACCTATTTTAAATTGGAAAGTCAGATATACAGAGAGGAGAGACAGCTGGTTCACTTCCCAAGTGACCGCAATGGCCAGAGCTGAGCAGATTCGAAGCTAGGAGCCCGGAGCCTCCTCCAGGTCTCCCACCTAGGTGTGCAGGGTCCCAAGGCTTTGGGCCATCCTCTACTACTTTCGCAGGCCACAAGCAGGAGGCTGGATGGGAAGTGGGGCCTCCGGGACATGAACCAGCACCCATATGGGATCTTGGAAGATGCAAGGCAAGGACTTTAGCCTCTAGGCTTCCACACTGGGCCCTGAAATGATAGATCTTAAAACAATCGCAGATACATCACTGACAACAAAACCAAATGCAAGAAAAGACATTCTTCCCTACAAGGTGGAAGAAGCCACCAGTTAAACTGTAAGGACACAGAAAAGACAGCCCGGTATTTTACAGAGCTTTGAAATGATCCCTTTGTAAATAAGCAGTCTCTGCAGACAACATATCTGAGTCACGCATCTTCAGGAATGTGAGCTGGTTCTGGCCTGGACCCGAATGCAGGGTTCAGAGGCAGAGTTCCTTTTTGCTTTAATTTATCTAACATAAGAAGAGGAATCCTGTTCTAATTAGTGACATTTGCCATGACACCTCCCCTTAGGAGTTCCTGCCCATTACTACTCTAATTCTGCATCGTGACTGCCCAGGTCTCTATCATTCGTGTGCCACCTTTAGGACACATCAGAGTTCCACCTGAGTCTGAGTCCATCGATATCTTGCATTCCATCACATCCTCCAACCCAAATGCTTCACCCACGAATGGCACCACAGAAGACCGGGGTGACTGAAGCTGCAAAGGACTGCAGCAATCCCATCATCCATACTGGACAAGGGTGGCTCTCGGGGACAAAACTCTGCCTTGCTCAATCATACAGAGCTGATTCACAGCAGACCTCAAGGGGCAGCCTAGACCTCTAGATTCTCTGGCACTCAGGAGAAAGCAGAAGGCAGGAGGGAGCCAGAAAGCTTAAGGCTAATAGGGACGATGCATCGTAGGAACCGCAAGTGGAAGCCAGGAGACTCCTTGGAGAAAGAGCAGTGTGGCATCTCAAGCCCAGTGAGTTGGGATCAACCGACGGAACCAGATAAAGGCTTTCAGACAGAAACGAACTTTTGTAACAATTAAGAAGAAAAATGATAATGTAGGCAGTCTAATGCAGTCTGTTGAGGATGGAACCGTTACTGGGAGTCGGAGAGGTACACACGGGGCATTAGCCAGGCCTTCCTCAATCCCTCTGACTTGTCATAGGCAAGAATATCTCACGATATCCCAGTAGATTCAGTCACATAGACACAAAGAAAAAAACCACAGTCATTTTGTGGGAAATACTTACCCTTGCTACACTTTATAAACTAAATACACAACAGTGTCAGAGATTAGTTTTTGAAAACTTAATAGGAAGTAAATAATAATCAAGTTCAATGCAACAATACATAAAAACACCTATCACAACCTGCTAAATTAGTTTCGTGATTAAATAGGTTTCAATGCATTCTATCAAAACCAAGGTATAGACTATCAACAGCAGGATTAAGGTGCAAGTAAAATCCTCTTTAATAAAACCTGTGACATTTACTAGCTGTGTCATTGAGTACCATACCTCAACGAACACTTCTCTTCTTGGCCTGTATAACTGTGCTAAAACTCAAAAGTTAGTAGGGTAGTTGATAGCTATAAAAACTCTATATACCCTTAATTCTAAAATGCAAGCTTTCTCCCATTTCAATATTTTTCGGATGATTCCGAATTCATTTCTAATCTAGGTACACAAGTCCTTTATTCAGGAAAACCTGCTGTTAAAATGGATGCCATTCTGGAACCAAATGTAAATTGATTGTGTGTGCTAGGTGACAATAAAAGACACTGAAATACATGCTCCGGAGGAAATAAAAGGTCCAGAGGGAAAAAATGGAAGTAAAACAGGTTGAATGTTATTATAAAACACGCGAGAGGAAAAGAGCGGGCAGTGAGCCACAAGGAGCACATTGAGGTTACAGAGTTGACGATGCTCCTTTGTTCTCTGAGACCTGATCCCCACGGTGGAGAGCGTTGGGTAACCCCTCTAACTCAGCTCCACCGGGCGCAGCAGAACAAAAGTTAGTCTATAATACATGCGCACGCATACACACACAGGCTGAAAATGAAAACAAAAATTCATCTGGCCTAGGTCAAGTTTGCCAAAATACATCTTTCAGTTATCAAAGAAAATGAAGAACCAGATTTGAAAAGTGACAATGTGTGCAAAGCTTCATTCATGTTGGGTTCTTCCAACGTCAACTGAAGTTGCATGGACAAAGAAGTCACGGTGCAGGGCAGTGTAAATGACAGAAAGGTATAAATGGCAGGAACAGAGAAGAGGATAGCACCTTATTCAAACGAACCCACTTTCCACACTTGTACACACTTTCTGATCAAGATTTTCTGATTAGAGTCCTCGATGTTTTTACTGAAGCAGCTATCAGTACCAGTTTGCCCAGAAAGTGGACATTCTAGCACTGAATGACAGTGATGCTCTGTACACTGACCCTTCAAACACCTGGGCCGTCTGGTCGGGGTTCAGGATCAGACAACTGTGGTACCGCCTGAGAACGGCCACGATGCAGACGCACAGACCCGTGGTGTAGTTGCCTGCCAGGCTGGAGGACTTGAGGAGCAGCTCGGCTTCCACAACACTCAGTTCATTTAGCAACTGCAAAGGGAGAAAAGAACGAATAAAAATGTGGGTGGAAAAATGGCAGTTTTTACAAACAATGCACAGAATGCATCATTCTAACACAGCTTCAGAGTCAGAAAGCATATTCCAATGGATGTGACGGGCTTTTTATTTTTAACCTTTGATTCTTTACCACCTGATAGTTTTCCTTCTGTCTAGACTTCAGGATGCCCGAAATTAGGAAGTGTCCGGAGCTGAAATAGTGACTGAAACTTCACAGCCAACTAAACCTCAGAACTGGATAATTTTAGAGAGCAACTCCACTCCTCACTTCTTTGCTTCCTTTGCCTTGTCACTTTATTGACTGTTACACATCTATCCTTATCTTACTAACAAAGCTAAGACTGCCTATAGAATAAGCAAAGGAAGCCAATTCTTACTCCTGTTCATTAACAACAGAGTTCTATAAGTAAATTTAGATTTATCTAAGGAATATAGAAATTTTCATTAGGTCTAAATCTAAACTATAGGGAGAAAATAAATGTTCTTCCTTCTCTAAGAAAAATGCTTAACGCCAAAAAGAAAAAACTTTAAAGCTCACATTTTTAAAATAAAGGTATTTCATTAAAAATACAAACACAACTACAGGTCAACTATTGGTTGAGGACTATTAATTCAGAATTATTCCAAAATGTGCTTGAGTGTCACTGCCCAGTAAGTGGGTAATTTTCAATGGTGCAATGCCTGGTGGGGTAGGGTTTCTCCCCTGAAAGGAAAAGAAACATGTTGAATTCAACACCTGTATTGCAAAATCAATGAGCCCATTGATGTTCAGTGCTGGCTCCATGAGATCAAAGATGAGTTGAATATGGTGAGCCAAGGGGAGATGGTAAGACGTCCCCGATGCAAAGCTTGTAATTTGTTCTAGCACATTGTTAGAGATCTGAAAAGCAAAAGTGAAAAACAGCTATAGATTCAATTGCCAATTTTTTTTTTAGTTAGATATTTCATTGTTAAGCAAGGAAGTTTCAATTCATACCTGATTCAACTTGGACCTACTGCCACAGAATCCCATAACATGCATAGATCTAAAATAATAAATGCAACATCTTCCCTATATTTTGAAGAAATGTATTAAATAGGTAATAGCAAGTAGCTCCTAAAATCCTGAAAACAGGTCTACAAATGTTAGCAAGCTTTAGATGTATCTAATATAATGTTAATGGATAAAGTAAGAAAGAATTAGTTTCTGCATTTTATAGTATTTTATTGTAGCCATCAAAATATTCTCCCTTATCAACAGCAGTGCAGGACCAAAATGTAATTGTACAGGTACTGTATCAATAATTATCTTATAGATTGAATATTGTTTCATATAATGATTAAAAAAAAAAAAACTTCTGAGAAAGGCAATCTGACACATAACATGAAGGTTCAATAGTTTAAGGACCTGCCAAGTATGTCTATAAAAATCTGTTTAAAAAGCAAATTAAAGTTGGAAACATATTGCACAGAAGTGATGATTTTAAGGGAAAGGGAATATTTGAAATGTCAACTGCTACAACTGCTTTAAGTGACTACCTGAGTCGTGACCTGATGCTGGTCGAAGTATGAGAGGAGTTGGAGTTTTGTGAACACAGTCTCCAGTGTTGGAAAAGCTTCTTGCCTGTTCTTCCTGGCTTTTTGTCCTTCATCCCCACCTAAACATACAGAAAGTAGTTAAGTATTTCCATTTAACTTAAGTTCTTGAGACATAGCATACATATTGACAAAATTATCTGAATTGCAGCAAAATGAATAAACTCGTGGAATGAGACCCGAGCAACATGTGCACAATTCCCAGAGACCCAGGGAACCCCTCGGGTCATTCCACCCTCATTAATGGACCAAAACGCTGACTCTTTAAAAGCAATTTTATTTATTCTATTCATTTCAAAGGCAGAAGACAGAAGGGTAGAGAAACAGAGAGCCCCCAGCCACCAGCTCACTCCATGACTTCAGCAGGTGCACTGGGCCAAGCCAAAGCTAGTAGCTGGGAATTCATGCAAAATCCTACATGGATTGCAGGGACCTAGCTAAGTCATCACCCACTATGTTCAGAACCTTTCCCAGGAAGAAGCTAAAATCAGGAGCCAGCGCTGCCTGAGACTCCAACCAAGGCCTCGGCTGGTGCCACTTTTTTTCTTTGAAAGAGTTATTCATTTGAAAATCACAGTTACAACAGAAAAATGATGGAGAGAAAGGTTTTCTATCAGCTGGTTCACCTCCCAAATGGCCAGAACAGCAGGACTAGGCCAGGCTGAAGGCAGGAGTTAGGAGGTTCATGTTGGTCCCTCATAGAAACACAAGCATTCGAGCCATCTTCCCACTGCCTCCCCAGGTCACGAGCAGAGAACTGAAAGGGTGGCAGCCAGGAATAGAACTGATGCCCATGTGGGATACAAGCCTTGTGGGTGGCAGCTTTACCTGTTACACCACAACGCTGACCTCACCACACAACACCTTCACTGCTCTGCTAACTAATTTACTCCTAAGATCTTCACTTCTACAAGACTGCATACTTCTGAAGTTCTGAAAAATGAAACCATATAGTACATAATGTTAATATCTGGCATTTCTCTCTTTTTTTAAGATTTATTTATTTGATTTGGAAAGACGGGATATATAGAGAGTAGGAGATACAGAGAAGAAAGATTTCCCACTCATTCACTCCTCAACTGGCCACACTGGCAGGAGCTTAAGCCAATTTGAAGTCAGGAGCCAGGAACTTCCTCTCGGTTTCCCAGGCAGGTGCAGGGTCCCAAGGCTCTGGGTCATCCTCTACTGCTTTCCCAGGCCACAGGGAGGGAGATGGATGGGGAAGTGGAGCAGCTAGGACATGAATCAGTACACGTATGGGATCCTAGCACATGTAAGGTGAAGATTTAGCCATAAAGACATCTGTTCTTAACAGTTCTATTAATAAGATTCCAAAAATAAATTAGGTCCCATTTGTAAATATCTTTAACATAATCTTTAAAAATCTTAAAAAGATAGGGAGTAGGAGTTCAATAATGTGATTTCCAAGGTCTTTTCCAACAATGATTACCAGCAGAGAAAGGCTACCTGGAGAAGGGCTCAGCTATTCACATATTCCTCTTTTTTGGCAAAGCTTATTCAGAGAACAAGCGCCACAGCCCCCCAAATTATCATCTTTCTGATGGAAGAAATTTAGCTGAAATGAAGACAAGTCAAAGCATCTTCCTGGAAATGGGCACTCCATAGTTGTGTTTCTATTATTGACTTGTCAAAAAAAAAAAAAGCACACACACACACAAAAAGCCAATCGCTGCTTCTTGTCTTTGGCAGCTCTTGTGCTACAAATGCCTATTTGAGGGATTGGTACAAAGACAGACTATCGTCTGGCACTTCAAAAGCTGTGAAGGAAGTAAGCAGGAGGGCCCAACAGGGCAGCACAGGACACCACAGTGTTTCCTTCCCCTTCTGACTGCACTCAGCTTTCAAAACCCAAAAGGTTCCATGCGATCGGGGAAAACACTCTAAAATAATTTCAACAGAACATTCATTACTAAACTTAAAGGGGATAGTATCCTCCCAGTACAAGGGTACTAAAAGATGCTTGAAATATTCCTTGCTAGTGAGTGCAGGAATCCTAAACTCCATCTTCTAAACACAACCTATTTCCTCTTTTTGCCGAGAGAGAGAGGAAAAAAAAAAAAGAGAGAGAGAAATATCATAGAAACGGTTTTCTTGGAACACTTTTTTCTCCAAGGGACAGCAATCAAGGCAAGTTTCATTTCTTCTCACAACATGGTTGCGTCCTCAAGGAGCCAGAATTCAACAAGGTCCTTACCCAGCAATAACAGGGAGACAAGGGATGTGATGAAAAGCCACGAGGAGGGGACTTTCTCATTGTGTTCTCACACAAACACAGCGCCCGCCAGGCAGCCTCAAACAGCAGGTGCAGCCAACAGCTGGTGCTGGCCTTCAGGGCAAGTTTCTGCATGTGAGCCTCTGCTAACTTCTTATTTGCTTTATTTACCATCCATTTAAATGTGTCCTTATCCTATTTAGCCATCTTGATTCTTGGCTCTCCCCTATCTGCTTTTTTTAATACCTCACCTTTTTTCTTGGAAAGAATATGAATACGGGTAAGCGTTAGCAATACAACCCAATACAGTCTCAAGACTAGGTCCCCTAGTCTCACTAGGGGAGAGCTATAAAAAAGTATTTTGTACTGAAAACCCACAGTAGGATTTCCATAGCACTTCATAGCAGGTATAAGAAAAATGCTGTGGTCCCTTCAACAAGTGCAAAGTTTGTTTTTTGTTGTTATTGAAATATTAGACAGATAAACGCCAATGATGAGAATGGAGTATATAGGATGACAACATATGTTAAGTCCTGACTACCAATGAAGTAAACAACCTTGACAAGGGTAATTAGGCAAATGTGGATAATGACAAAATTCTGATACACAATGTGGTGACACAGACACAGCTTCACTAAGTTTCAGCCAGTGTCACAAGCATGGGGCTCCAGCACTCTAAAAGGGCAAAGCTCCAGTTGACATCACCTGGTACAAAAGGCGGTCCTCTGGACTTACCGAGACTATGCCTCTAAATAAGCTGAAAAGATGAGCAGCTACTACAAAGATTTTCAATTCACATGCAGATGGGAGCGTCATGGAGAGAAAGGGAATCACTGGCTGGAAGCAAGAGATGGCAGAGGAAGAGGGGATGAGACCTCCTTTCTAATTAAACGTTTTTCTAGCTCCATCTTCAAAACTTCATTTGCGATTGACTGCAGGGAATGTGGACCAGGCAATAAAAATGACCTACTTTGACCTACAGAAAATGATACACCAACACAAGGGTTGCTATAAATGGGATCAATGTCTCGGCATTAAACTGTGCTTATTCATACTTCAACATGACAGTCATTCAAGAGAGGAAACTGGCGACAGTGACCAATAAGATGATAAGGACAGAAACAAGGGGGAAGACAGGGGCCCGCTCGGTCACGGGCGCAAACACACAAAGGCTCATTACCCCCCGTCTCCGTGGTGCTCTTCTTATTGAGGATTTTCAGGATATCTTTGGTAATCTTCTTCAGCTGATGCCTTGCTTCATCACGCTCTTTGCCGACCCCATAGAGGAGGATTGTGCGCTGGTTACATTCATGACTTGAAGATTCATCCTGCAAAGAAGAAAACGCATGCTGAAACCCCTGTGTGCCACGGTGGGCTGGCATTCCACTAGCTGCAGCTCCTCCATGGTTGGCTGGCATCGCCACCATTCTGTCAAAGCCTTTCAGCCTCCACTGGACACACCCGTGCCTAACCACTCTGGAATCTGCTAAAGTAAAAAACAAACAAACAAACAAAAAACAAAGTTATCAACTGACCTGAAGGATGAATAGAAGCATTTGAGGTGGGCCAGCATGACAGAGTAAGTTTGGGCTATTGAAAAACTTTTCATTGCTGCAACTTACACATGCCATTAATTTCACAGCATGTGACAACCTATCTAGTCAGACTCTTAAGGATAATGTCTTAACCTAGTAACCTTGCTTGTCCAGATATATTTGAGTATATATGCACATATAATAAAATAGGTTTCAGTTAGCCAAAAGTTTTATAAGGATCCTCAAATATCCATAGAAAAATATTCCATTTACATCCAGCGTGACTGTGTGAGAATATGTGCATTTGTTCCCAAATGACAGAACAATTAGGAGTGTTGATCTTGCTAGATGTGCAGTAAACAGGAGGAAATGCAATATATTTTGATACCACAGCTCGCATCATGGACCACCTCCTCACTGCAACCCCAAGCAAGTCCAAGCATGACTAGGTTGGTTGGTCTGTCTGTCTGTCTGTCTTTTTTTTCCCCTTTCTTCCTTTCTTTTTAAGATTTATTTATTTTCATTGGAAAGGCAGATTTATAGAGAGGAGATAGAGAAAAGAAAAGATCTTCCTTCCACTGGTTCACTCCCTAAGTGGCCGAAAAGGCTGGAGCTGAGCTGATCCAAATCAAGGAGCCAGGAGCTTCTTCTCCAATGCAGTTGCCAGGTCCCAAGGCTTTGTGCCATTCTCTACTGCTTTCCCAGGCCACAGGCAGGGAGCTGGAAAGGGAAGTGAACCAGCTGGGACATGAAACCAGCACCTATATGAGATCCCCACGCATGCAAGGTTATTTTGCCGGGCCTGACCTGGGTTACTTTTTTCACATAGGAAAAGAAATTGTTTAGTCTCAGCCTAGGCTAAACCAAGCACACATGACTGTACATGTCTGGGGAGTGTTCTCTCTATCTCTGCTTTTGGAGCTTTTGCTTTTGGAGCTTTTCGCTCTGCGTTTCTCCCTTGGATCTGCCCAGCTCCTATTCTGCTCGGTAGACCCTGCAGCTCTATCTCTGGCACCATCTCCTTCTCTTACTCTGTCTCTCTGGCATTGACAGGCCCTTACTCCTCCCTGCCAGCCCGTGAGAAAGGAATCAAACTGCACCATGCCCAAATTAGTCACAGCTGCAAGGAAGAGCAAACCCCACAGACTCAGAGAAGCCCCGTGCTTCTGCTGGAGGACTTCCCTGCGTGCTTGGTACAAAGCAGCACGCTGCTTCTGCAACCTTTCAGTGAGAACTATGTCACTTGGCTCACACTCTATTGTTTCATCAGTCTGCCCTCCCCTCACACACATGCACCAGCTCACCACATCCTGATGTGCTGGTTCCTCTCTGACTGTACTTGCCATAAAACATCCTGATCTGCATGCCTACTGCCCTCCACCAGCAATGTTTAATGTTTCCGGCGTTCAGATTCACACATGCACACAGACAGCTAGCAATGTTTCTCCCAGTAGCTGTTCTTACTCAACTCCCTGCGTAAAGTCAACACAGGAAGTGATTCCTACGCCTGAGCGGTTCCCTGTCGTCCCAGAGGATTACTAATACATTCTTGTGTTTATCTGGTGGGACATGTGTACAGAAACCCTAGGAAAGCAATAGGAGGTCACGGAAAGTTGCACAAATCTCGGTTATATGCCTGGCAGGGCATCGGTCAAATGTAGCTAACATTAAACATATGGGTACCTGAGAGGTTTAGTAAAGCTGTTCAGTAATTCTTCATAGAATCTCCACCCATGGCAACAGAAAATGCTAGTGATGGTGAGAAAACCCAAGACTGAGGATTCCTATTCCAAGGAGCATGGTGTCTTGGCAGAGACAGCGGTCCATGACAGAGGGTGAGAGAATATGCTGGAAAGATGCATGCAATCAGCACCACCACTCAAACATGGCCCAGACTGCAGCTAACATAGCCCATGCCAGGGACAGGATGGAGCTGCTGCTGCATCTGACTGGTGCTACTTGCCAGTGCCTTGGTCTTGGACAAGGAATCTCTCAGAGCTTCAGATACTCTCAGAAGGCAAATGTTGATTCTGTTGCCTTCCTGGCAGAATTATGTGAGAAGAACTGACAATGTGTGGAATTTATGTAGGAGCACACTGGACACAGAGCTCACTGCTAAGTCACTTTCCAGCTTTTCGCCCACATCTCACATGTACCCCAAACCCACAGCATGCGGCATTTCTCGGTGTGTCTCTAAAATCCTACACAGTTTGCTAGGCTGTTGTTTTCTCAACAGCCCTCTTTGCGCCTGTCGAAATGCTGTGTGCAAGTACAATGTCAGGTCTCTGACTTTTACTGAAGGTCCTCACCGCTGGAACAGGAAAGCAAAGGAGACTTTACAGCATTTCAGCAGTCTAATTCCCTTACTTTTTGCTACTGAATGTGTGTCTTCCACACTTGCTTGTAACTTTTGTATAGGTGCTGCAGAAATGAGCACTAGACTAGAAGTATTGTGAAAGATTCCACGGTTATTTTAATATTCTCTTGAAGATCACTGAGTTGACACTCATTATTTGTGGACTTAACTTGTGTGCAATACACAGTATATAAGTGAACTACTGAGCAAACACATAGCAATAAGACAAGATCAAAACCGAATTTAGCGTAATGCTAAACCTCCCAGTTAAGTGAGGAGAAAGGGGAGAAGTCAAGGGGATAGATTGGATGCTACATCAAAAAAATGTTTTCAGCATAAAGGAAGACTCCGTGGTAGGAATAAAGACTGAAAAACAAAACTAACCGGGAGGGAGTTGGGAGAGATTCAAGCACCTGAATACACACCTCACTGTACTTGGGATCAAGCACCAGACACAACAAACTGGCAGGGAGAAAGGACATGTCGCATAAGTAAGGAGCTCTCAATTTCACTAGCGTAAGAAACTTGAGGCATTGATGAAAATTTCCTAAATAACGTGATGTTATTTGGTTTCTAGTGAACACTAATAAGGAAGTGACAGCTCAATGAAAAGGGAGCTACATCAAGCCCCAAGAGAGGCGTGAAACTCCAGATTCTGTATGGGGAAGCAAAGCAAAACCAGCTGAGACTGAGGTGGTAAACAAGCCATTGTGTAAAGCAGCAGCCACAGTCAAGGCGCAGAAGTCAGGGGAGGGCACATGCGCACACACAGGCCATCAGCGCTGTGACAAATGGGGCCACCATCACCCTAGATGACGCCCCAGATGGGTAACTAAAAAGTGAAGCTTCTCTAGCGTGGTAGGGAAAGAAAGCAGGAAGCCAGGAGCTTGAAGTCAGAGGTGATGCTGAAATTGTGCAGGTTTGAGAAGCACGGGAGTTTTCCACAGAGTTTTCAAAGGAGTTGGTTTTGGAAGCAAACACATGACTTGAGCATGAGAGTGTGGGATGAACACACCACAGCAGCACAGAGGCAGGTGGAAAAGAATGACTTGTTAACTACAGTGGGGAATAGGATGGAAAGATACTATTTGTGTCTTAAGATGAATTATTTCAGAGAAATCATGATTGTTGATACTAGTCTTCAAAGAGACTAGGAACAGAGAAGTATCAGATATTGTGCCTGTTTTAATTTTCAAGCTGTAATTACTGATTTATTTGAAAGGTAGAGTAACAGATAAAGAAAGATCATCTGTGGGCTAGTGCACCACCCAAATGATCACAACAGCCAGGTTTGGGGCCAGGCCAATGCTAAGGACAGGGTCTTCCACATGGGTGGAAAGAACACAAGAACGTGGCCCATTGACCACTCCATTCCCAGACACATCAGCAGGAAGTTGGATTGGAAGTGGAGCAGCAAGGATTCAATCATTCCAAGATGCACCACTGTGCCACAAAACAAGCCACAGAAACTTTTTCGAAGCTACTTTTAATAAACTACAAGACTTGTTTACATCAAAGATTTTAATTATTTGTTTGCTTATTATTATTTTTTAACTAGAAAATGTGGGCCCAGTGCAGTAGCCAGTGGCTCAAGTCCTCTCCTTGTATGCATGGGAATTCCATATTAGCACTGGTTTGTATCCCAGCTGCTCCACTTCCCATCCAACTCTCTGCTTGTGGCTTGGGAAAGCAGTCGGGACGGCCCAAAGCCTTGGGGACCCGTACCCACGTGGGAGACCCAAAAAAAGCTCCTGGCTCTTTGCTTTGGATCAGCTCAGCTCCAGCCATTGTGGCCAGATGGGGAATAAACCAGCAGTCTAAGGAAATGCACCAACTATTTATACAGTAACCAATAACTTCTATTCTTTTAAGTTGGAACTTAAAAATTCTCAAATTGCATAGTTCTAAGCAATTTAATGAGTTGAAATAGGCACTACAAATTTAATGTTAATTGCTAAGTTACTGATCGAACAAGAAAAAGAATCACCTGTCCAGTTAAGCTGCTGCTTCCAGGCTGGCCAGCCTGTTGCTGACTAAACGGGCTGCTCCCCTATAAACCAACTTCTTTCTGCAAGTCTCAGCCTACAGATTACTTCCTGAATATTATTTCACACTCAAAAATACTCAACTGATCAAGAAACAGCAGAGCGATACATCCAACATCCTGGTAGACTAGGGTTCCTGCCATCCACATGGGAGACCCGGCCAAGCTCCCGATTCAGACTGACCAGACCCGAGCTGTTGGAAGAGTGACCCGATCTCTTCATCTTCCGCTCTCCCTTTCTGTTATTCTGCCACATAAATGAATCTTTGTGAAAGAAACACAGTAATTTGAGTTCTGCTCTAACTCATCTCCATGTCTTATAAACGGTCAGAATAGTAATTTTTTTTTAAGATTTATTTATTTTATTGGAAAGGCAGATATACAGAGAGGAGGAGAAACACAGAGGAAGATCTTCCGTCTGATGACTCACTCCCCAAGTGACCGCAACAGCCAGTGCTGTGCAGATCCGAAGCCAGGAGCCAGGAATTTCTTCTGGGTCTCCAAGGCAGGTGCAGGGTTCCAAGGCTTTGGGCCATCCTCGACTGCTTTCCCGGGCCAAAAGCAAGGAGCTGGATGGGAAGTGGAGCTGCTGGGATTAGAACTGGCGCCCATATGGGATCCCAGTGTGTTCAAGGTGAGGACTTTAACCATTAAGCTATCGCACCGAGCCCAGAATAGTAATGATCCTAAAGGGAAGTAAAACAACTAGATTCTAAAGGTTGCTTCCTTGTCTTCAGAACGCTAATGAAAATCAAATGAAGTAGATGCAATTGTCCTTTTGTTAAAATTAAGTGCATTTTATATCTCAATGCTTTTATTTTGTACATTCAAATATTCAACCCAGTATACATCGCAAAGTGCATGTAGCACCTCCACTAATAGCACGTCTCCTAAAAGGCAGTTTTTAGAAACAATTTACTATTTTTTGCTTACCCTTAAAAGACACCTTAAACATCATTAATTCAACTAAGCCTACCTTGTTCAGAGTAAAATAGTCTCAAATAAACATTCCACAAGCGGAAAGTAATAGGCTTTGGGCTCAGGAGAAGAACGGACGTGGGCATGCATGAGACTGTGGTGCTGGAACAAGAGCATCACCGGGTTATTTTCATGACTAACCGTGCTTGAGCTGGAGTGCCTTTCCGGGAGGCATCCTCCGTTGCACTGTACAGGACCTCCTTGTTGCATCACAGCGACAGTCCACAGTACGACTGCCACAGTCCGTGATAAATGCAAGTAACGTTCACCTGCTTTCCAGCCCAACATTAAAGTCAGAATGACAGATAACTGCATCGCAGGACGCAGCACTCTAAACACTGCTGTTCCCGGGACTCCCTTTAGGGGAATCTGTTGTAAATCTAACCGATTTTCTACACATAATTGGGTGATGCCAAGCCAGCTCAAGTGTGAACTGCTTAAAACACATGTCTTCAACCAAAGTGCTCATTCATGCCTGGACGAGCACATGTAGATCCATAAACTGCTGGAACTAAAGTGCTCAAACAAAAGTCTCATCTCACCCTCCCGCACAAAGCCAGGTCCTCCAGGGCGCAGAGTCCTGCCGTTTCAAGGGTGGCTCAGCAGGCTCATTTAAAGCTAAGACTTTCCAAGAGCAGACTTGGTAATTAAGTAATAGACTTGGTAAAATAAATAAATCAAATAAACACCCTTCAAAGTCAGTCTTCTGTCCATTTCTCTAAACCTCCTTGATGACAGAACACAGCTAGCTTAGTTCTGTTCCCTACAGCACAATTATAAGCTGCATGGGTCACCACCTTCCTATACATTTTTCACTTTTGAGGTGGAGGAGGAACTAGCAGTCAACTCTCAATGAGAAAATATTAGAGAGGATTCACAGACAAGCAACTTGAGTGAAAATCAGAAAAGGCAAAAGTATTTTGGCTCTCAAATTGGAGTCATTTTTCATCCTCAACATTTCTACTGAAATGGAAACACAAATTCTCAGTAAGGTAGCATGATTTAAGTATCCGGAATTAATTTTCCCTGAGCATGGAAAATCAGTATAAAAACATCACAATTTTTGTTGTTGCTGTTAAGGCTTGTTTCAATTGTCCATGTGGGATCCCAACACATTCAAGCCAAGGACTTCAGCTGCTAGGCCACCACGCCAGACCCAAGGCCTGTTTCAATTGTGCTCCCTGGGTATCTATGAGAAATGTCCCTAAGACTTTACACATGGGTATAAACACAGGTGATCTGGCCATTCACCTCCCCGTGCCTCCCGGTTGGGGAGGCTGCTGCAGAGAAAGGGGGATGAGGAGGAGCCTCTGAACACAGCAGTTATAAGTGTATGTTCTGGGGCCACCCGGTGCCCATCAGAATGGATTCTCCTACAAACGTCATAGTTCTGCTCCTAGGGAATAGAAACAATCAAAGAATCTCCATTAAAGAGTAGACAATATGATTTAACTGATAATTTACGTAAGAAATGAAATGGTAGTTATCATTTCGCTAAAGGACACACAAAACTACCAGCTCATTTAAAAAGTATAATTCTGAGTCTCCAAACAAGAAGAGATAATTAAGTTTTGCTTACAATAGTCATGGAAAAACAGAAATATGAACATTGAGAGCTTCATGTCAATTAATATCCCTTAATGACCAGTAAACATAACTGAAAAATCAGAACTAAAATAACTGAAATGTACAGATTGGTTTGAAATTCTCCATGGCAGCAAAATTTTCATGTCCATGAATGTTAGATTTTTTTTTTTTTTTTTTTTAGTGTGAGAATACTCATTAAAATACAGATAGGGTGGGTTTTGGGGACTTGCCAGATTTTCTGCCTAATAGGGTCTAAGCTACTCTGGAAATGGGTTATTTCTAGTAAGTTTTCTTTTTTCTGGGTGATTACTGGGCTGCTGAGAAACACTGACGAATATACGCAACATACGCAGACATTTCGTATTCAGGCAACCGCTATTAAGGAAGTGCCCACATCCGCACAGTAACACTTCTACAAAGGTGAAAAAGCAACCAGTTTTACCCTCTTCCATTTTGTACTTTCTGATTTAAAAGTTTAAAAACTGTATATAAAAGAATAATTGAAAGAGGCTTTAATTGTATACCCATGTCCGCCTAATTTTAAGTCCATGTAAAAACAAATATACAAAAAAGTTTAAGCTCAAGACAACCATGGAGTATACTTTACACAGTAGGCTTGGCTATGGACTGAACTTTTTTTTTTTCCTAATGTAATTTTGGAATCTGATAATTTATAATGGGAGGAAGCTGTTTTGTCTACAAAGGACTTACTCAAACCCAGATTCGAAATAATGACATTATTAACCAGGGGAAGAGGCACACCAGCACAACCAGGACACATTTGGAGTTAAAGTAATTACTTGTTGGAAGGGTTTGCAGGTAAATAACCATCTGAGGGAACAAGCTGGCGACCTTCTCCAGAAAGCACGCTGTGCAAGCCTGATCTCAATTTGGATTAACATAGAAAATAACCACAGGAAATCCAAGTTTCACATCATCAACTGCATGGCAGGTTTCAGTACAAGGGAACAAGACTTTAGATTTTCAGCTGCTTTTGCAAAGATGCCTTCTCAGCCATCCCAGGAAATGAAAAAGCAGAAGTCCAGCAAGCAGACAGATGGAAGTGGAGCGTCCTCATAGCTTCAAGTCCACAGTGTCTTGGAGGTGGTCTGACTGCCAAGCTTTCTCTCTCTTTCTCCCTCTATTTCTCTCTAGGACACCCAAGACTTCTTGACAAAAAAAGAGCAGGAGAGTTTCGTAAAATGGTTTGGCAACTGAACTAAGACAGTGAACAGAAACATCCAATGCCTCTGCGGGTGCCTTGATCTACTGACTGGATAAACTCAAGTCCTCCAGAATCGACAGGATAACCAGGTAATGTGATACATAAAACATCTGCATATTTACATGATGATGTGTGGGTATGGCATCCAAATTATTTATCAATGTAAGCGTATTTGAAAGAACACAGGTCACGCTAAGGTATCAGAGATGATCATGATTTAGTTTTTTTGTTAAATACACAGAGCTAGGAAATAAAATACAAGTAGATGTTTATTTCAGTTGAAGCATGAAATGAACTTTAAATATTGACAGAGCTAAAACTGTCAATATCCCAAATGCTTGTTTAATAATTTACAGTCCATTCAAATTTAGCATTTCAAAGTGCCATTTCCAAAACTGACAAGTGAACTGATCCTTCATCAATAAAAATGGGGTATGATTTTAGCGTTAACAAAGAGTGACACAGATGAGGGAAAGTAAAATGATACTGTGACAGCACAACAGCTAATTGCCTAACTTTCACTTATTTAAGGATTGGAAAAAAGATTCTGCCAACACTGTGCTTTTTGAAATTACTATGTCTTATTAGGGGAAATATTTTATGAAGAAAACATTTCAGTTTGACTTTGATAAAATACAGACATTTCACTTTACATTCAAGATTTCATTTCCAACTTCAGGACTTGTATACTAGAAAACATCCTTTATTTTCTTTTCGCTATCCCTTGCGGTAACAACCTATAATATCAGACAAACGTGGTTTTGATGATTTCTTCTCACTGCCATTTGATACACCATTAACCTAAAAAGCATGGCCTGGCTGACTTGAGAAATGTCAACTGAGAATCTCGCACACAGAGGCCATCTACTTAATTTTTATTGCTTTAATTTTAACATGGCGTAAGGTTCAAGAAAGCATCCATGATGGTTTCAGATGTACTGTGCAATGCTGGAAATGAGATATGCATGGGTTAAAACAAATGCTGAGCTGCTGTGAGGTCAAATTTGAACAGATGACTGAGCAACAGAAAGGAATACATGTCTTCCAACTTACGCAGAACACTAAATATGAAACAAAAAAGCTAATTTAATAAATTTCTCAAGGGTGACATCACATCACTCCTCACTTTTTTTTAATTTAAAAGAGCCAAATGCGCAGGCACTAGCCATTTCTCCTTTGAAATCTTTTGTAAAACAAGAGTTGGAAGAAGATGTAGAAAAAGTGACTTTACAAACTAAAAAGCTGAAACACATGGAAGTGAATAGATTTGGCAAAGAAAGCACAGCCCAGCCATCTATCCCACGCCAATATGTTAATACTGGCGGACATTGCGCTGGAACAGTGTTGAAGCAGGCAAGCATTCAACACAAAGGAACACTAATCGTCTCTGCAACTGTGTGCAACATCTCTTTGCCTTGCTCGACATGGAACATGTACCAGTAAGACAGGGTTAAGATTCCATTTCTGGGTTCCTGCTAACTACCACCGTTAAGATGAGAAACATCAGTTTCCAGAACAAGCTGTGTCTGTGGGAAGCTACGGCAACAAGCCGAGACCAAAAAATAACCTAGCCCTCTCTCCTTCCCTCCCTCTGCGACTCCAGGTAGCAAAGAAGAAATGGCGGCCATTGCTAACCTCACTGCCGGGCCGAGCAACAGCAGTCTCTGTGCCAGAGATTACAAGATCACGCAGGTTCTCTTCCCACTGCTCTACACGGTCCTGTTCTTCACAGGACTCATCACCAACAGCCTGGCGATGAGGATTTTTTTTCAAATCCGCAGTAAATCCAACTTCATCATTTTTCTGAAGAACACGGTGATTTCCGACCTCCTCATGATCCTGACTTTCCCGTTCAAAATTCTCAGCGACGCCAAGCTGGGAACGGGACCCCTGAGGACCTTTGTGTGTCGGGTGACCTCAGTCATATTCTACTTCACAATGTACATCAGCATTTCCTTCCTAGGGCTGATCACTATCGATCGCTACCAGAAGACCACCCAGCCATTTAGGACATCCAACTCCACCAGCCTCCTGGGGGCCAAGATTCTGTCTGCCGTCATCTGGGCATTCATGTTCTTACTCTCGCTGCCGAATATGATTCTAACCAACAAGAGGCCGAGGGACAGCAATGAGAAGAAGTGTTCTTTCCTGAAATCAGAGTTCGGTCTGGTCTGGCATGAGATAGTGAACTACATCTGTCAGGTCATCTTTTGGATTAACTTTTTAATTGTCATCGTTTGTTACACACTCATCGCCAAGGAGCTCTACAAGTCATACCTGAGAACCAAGGGTGCAGGCCAAGTCCCCAGGAAAAGGGTCAATGGCAAAGTCTTCATTATTATTGCCGTCTTCTTTATTTGTTTCGTGCCTTTCCACTTTGCTCGAATTCCCTACACGCTGAGCCAGACCCGGGATGTCTTTAACTGCACTGCTGAGAATGCGCTGTTCTATCTCAAAGAGAGTACGCTGTGGTTAACGTCCTTGAATGCATGCCTTGACCCCTTCATCTACTTTTTCCTCTGCAAGTCCTTCAGAAGTTCCCTGACAAACATGCTGAAGTGTCCCAAGTCTGCATCACTTACATCCCCAGAAAAGAGGAAAAAGGGACAGGACGGTGATGACCCCAGTGAAGAGACCCCAATATAAATCAATGGACAGTGCCGGGGTTCAGAATCCCTGAAGGCAAAGCCCTCAGTGGAACTGTGACCACTGACCAGGTAAAAGCCAAGTTAGTGAAATTGGCTTTTCAGACAAGTCACAGAAGACTCTGACAGGATTGTGCAGTGACTTTTCCACTGCTAAAAGCTAACTGAAAGTGCAGTGAAACAACCTAAGCTATAACTGCATGGCAAAACAAACTCTACTGTCGTGCTGCTTGGAACACTGTACATAATTCATAATCTGCAGTTTTGACAAGGGTTATAAAAATACAAGGTGATTAAAAAAACAGAAAGCACAATTCCTTTATAAATAACAAAGAATGGTAAATCCAACACAATTTTCTGAATAAAAATTAAACTTATTAATCCCACTTACCCAAATTGACAATGATACTTATTAAAGAAATTTAGGTGAATGCCAGAGAGAATAACTACTAACTTTTAATTCCTAGCAAAACAAAACAAAACAAAAACACAAAAAAACCCTAGGAGACATAAGCTAGTTGAAATAGTATTTGATTAGAAAATGTTTGAATATTAAGATTTTTTAAATATTTTTTTCAATAAACACTAGAAATATCAAGGGAGGTTCGAATGAAGTACTTTCACGATATGCTAATACTAAAACAATTATGAATAGTTTTTAACACTAGAGAAAGGTTTTCCTAATATGTTAACGATTTCAGTAGATGGAATGTCATCATTGATAGTTTTCTTCATTAATCAGCTCTCACAAACTTCCTGCTTCTGCTAATGAAAAAATGACTGATTTGATTACACGGTTACTCATAAAAAGTGACTGGATTGTTTGAATTCTCTATTTGTAATTGTGGATATTGCATAAAAAGTTACAATAAAGCTTAATCATACTTTGTTTGGAATTCTTTGCAGATACTCAACACCATGATAACTTCCCCGATACAAGCTTATCAAACTCGAGTCCATGTGTCCAGACACATCTGTCCACACTGTGCAATGCTTCCTCTGAAGCTATCGTAGTCCCTCGGTCAGTTCACATGCGAATCAATGGGTCGGGTTTGAGCATCCCAACTCATGCAAGCCACTTCCAGCATTTTAGTATATCCAAAATACGCAACACATGTGGGGGGCTCACACCGTAGTCCGTGTATAATCCTCAGAGCGGATTCTCAAGCCAGGGTGTCACCACAGAAACCATTCTGCAGAACTTCAACGATAGCTATGACTCTGGGGACTCATCATCACTTCTGCTGAGTTAGATCGCGGTACAGATCTCAACTCCCTTACTTCCCTGAAAGGGATTGATTCTCTGTAGTCCCTCTGACACTGCTGCTAAGTGAGCACTGAATGTTAGCGGAGAGACAACAAGACTCGCACCACAGAGGGAGACACTGTGTATACAGGACAAACACCGGGGCTTCTGTTTTCTATGTAAGAACACCAGCACGGTCTCCCATGTGGGTGCAGGATCTCAAGGCTTTGGGGCATTCTCCACTGTTTTCCCAAGCCACAAGCAGGGATCTGGATGGGAAGTGGGGCCTCCAGAATTAGAACAGGTGCCCATATGGTATGCCGGCGTGTACAAGGTGCAGACTTTAGCCGCTAGGCTATCACACCGGGCCCCAATGGGTTTATTTTTTAAGAAACGGTACACAAAATCTGTATACTCAGCTACTGAAGGTAAAAGGTCAGACCCTCCTAAGGCTTCTAATTATTACTGGTGTCTTTTAAGGGTTTGTTAAAGAAAAAACTCTAAACCAAGTAGTGGCAAACTATAGCCCTCAGTCCAGACCCCAGCCTTCACCTGCCAGACCATTGCTGACCTAAGGATCCTTTTATATTTAGATGATTGCAGGGCAGATAGACCAAATACAAAACCTTGTATGCCATGGAATTTTATTATCATAACCAGGTGCATCCATTTTTTTTTAACCTATGGTTCCTGTTCTGCTACAATAGAGTTTTGTTGTGACTGAGATTGCACAAGCGATAACATACATGTTCTCCAACTACAGAGAAGTCTGCCAGCTTCGGGGAAGAGTCCTTTAGAAAAGCAAGGATACTGTCTGCAGAAGCCTCTTCTGGATGCTGCGATGGTTCAACTGGTTAGTCATCCACCTCCATATGGGCGCCTGTTCAAGTCCCATTAGCCCTGCTTCCCATCCAGCTCCCTGCTTGTGGCCTGGGAAAGCAGCTGAGGACAGCCCAAAGCCTTGGGACATTGCACCTGCATGGGAGACCCGGAAGAGGCTACTCATTATTCATTGCTGACTTGGCATTATCTCAGCACTAGACCCTGTGACCATTTGGGGACTGAATCAGCAGAAGGAAGATTGTTCTGCTTTTCCTTTTTTATAAATCATTCCTTATAATACCAGTTAAAAGGAAAGTGAGAGAGAGAGAGAGAAGGAGGAGGAGAAAGAGGAAAGAAAAGAAAGCCTCTTTTTATACGCCTGGGTTTCTCAGTAGTCTTGAACTGGAAACAGCTAATTCATACTGTAGGCAATGGCCACCGTGAAATTAGAATGCATCCCATGGGAAATAAAAAATTGGAAATATTCATACAATGTATTCATCAGTAGGTACTGAAAAACTCCCCTCCCCCGCCCCTTATTTTTTTTTTCAATGAAAGGGCACAGGAAGACAATGTTTAGCAAAAACAGAAATTGTCTCTGAAAAACTACCTATTTTCATTAATATGCAAGTAGGATTGTATGGTATAATTTCTTTTACCTATTTGTTTCTAAATCATTTACCAGATCTCAAATAACAGTGTTGGATGTTCTTACTCTAGAGATGAGAAACCTTCTTGAATCACTGATGTATAACTTCTAGCTTGTAGGATGCTTCAAAGAAATAAATCAGAATAAATGCACCAAAAAATGTGTAAACATGCATCTCCTATACAACATTGCTTTTAACAGGGAAAATTTAGAAAGAAATGAAATGCCCAGCAATAATAGCCACATTAGATTATGGTAACCTTTTATGTATTTGTTATTATACATATTATGGTAACCCCATATTTTCAGCTCAATTTACATCCTAACATGGAATGAAAAACTTCACTGTGTAAACAAAATGCAATTGTGCATCATATAAATTGATATGTATCCATATATGTAGGGCAGATTTGAACTTTTACTATATAAGCATTTGTATTTGATTTGTTAAAAACATGCTTTCTGGACCCAGCTTGGTAGCCTAGGCGCTAAAGTCCTCACCTGGCACACACCAGGATCCCATGTAGGCGCTGGTTCTAATCCCAGCAGCCCCGCATCCCATCCAGCTCCCTGCTTGTGGCCTGGGAAAGCAGCTGAGGATGGCCCAAGCCTTGGGACCCTGGACATATGTGGGAGACCCGGAAGAAGCTCCTGGCTTTTGCTTGGCTCAACTCCGGCTGCTGCAACCATTTGCAGAGTGAATGAGTGGACAAAAGATCTTTCTCTCTTCCTCTGTGTATATATCTGCCTTTCCAATAAAAATGCTTTCTTTTCACAGTAAATAATCTTAAGTTACACATACAGTGTATAATATAGTATTGTATATTGATTGCCTGCTTCTAATTATTGATGGCTACCATGGTAACCAGAGAAGGGCGGAGTTTGCCTCCAACCAGACCCTGAAGGAACTGGATGGCAGAATTCTGGCGGGCCCCTCAGGTTGTGAGACCACCACTGCAACAATGAGGGGCACAGACCCATATCCCACCAATAAGGACCGAGGTGACCCCTTTTCGGCTTCCGTGTCAAGGAGAATTTAAAAGGGGCCCTTCCCCGTCTCTTCCGCCCTCTTCTTCCTCTGCACCCCACTCCTTGAATTCACCCTGATCACACTACTTTAAATTACCGTAGAGTTGCAAACTCAAACCACATGCTGCGGTGGAAAGTTTCCCAAGTCCATTAAACTTTGCGGTTGATGTTTAGTCTCATGGGTCAATCAGGATCTCCCCCAAAGAAGCGGCCCTTCAGCTGCTCTGTGCTTTCTGTCACAGGTGGAAGAGGAAGGGTCTAGTCACGGACTGGCACAGACCCTGCAGGTTCGCAGCGGCCCCGGGGCGCACGTTGGGCAAAGTCCTCGCTTTCTGCATACTGATTTGCTCTTATCTACATGAAATCAGTACCTGCAATGTTTAAATACCATGTGGTCACGTGGACTCCTCACAGTAGACTGTATTTACTTAGAGCCCAGCAGGATTTTAAACCTATAAGCTAGGCTCATCTGGCAGGTTTAACTTCTGAAACCTTCACTGCACTTTTTTCGTGCATGTCTTTTGTCTTTGTTAAATTATACTCAGAGACATATGTGGTATTACAATTCTAACTCATTCAGAAGAAACTTACAGGATAATCATAATTGTAAACACTCTGCATGAAGTTCATTCACTAGATTCTCTTTGGAAACCACGTAAAGCAGATGCTATGATTTCTTTCGCTTTCGCTTCCCTAGAAAGAGTCAACAACTTGCCTAAGACCGTGAGAAAGTGAGCTGAAGCTGGAAAGGGAATTGAGACGCCTGTGACATGCACCTGCAAGGGCCAATGATTCCTGTGTGTGCCTCCTCCGGCAGCCCCGCTCCCATGGCTGCTGACACTGCAGTCCGCTAACACGTAAAAGGCTTGAAAAGTGGTAAATGAGAGACCTGTTGAACAAACACTTTGAAACCTGTATTTCATTGTAAAGAGTGCACCTTTTCGACTGGAGATAAACACTATAAACTGGATGGTTCCTCTTTTGAAAGCTTCCTGTGCTGGCTTCCCAGTTTTCACAGTACGAAATTTCCCTGTACAGAGTTTCCCTTTTGTAAAACTAAACTGCTGCAAATCTTCAGCTTCCCAATAACAGGACTGCAGCATAACTCATCATTCAGCACATATTGCCTAAAAACCCCTATTTGAAAGTTTTGGTTTCACTTCTGAAACCAAACATATATGTCGGTGGCTGGCACTGTGGCATTCTAGGTTAAGCTGTGCCCTATGCTGACAACATCTCATATCAGAGGAACTGTGAGTCCTGGCTCTTTTGCTTTCAATCCTGTTCCTGCCGATGAACCTGGGAAGGCTGTGCATCATGGCCAACACAGACCTGGCTTACTGCTGCACAGGGGGCAGACCTGGCAGAAACTCTGGCTCCTGGCTCTGCCTGGCCCAGGCTTGCCTATGTTGAAGGTGAATCCTGAGTTGGAAAATAGATTCTCTTGGACTTTCCTCTTCTCTCCTTTCTGCCATTTTGCCTACCAATCTTTACAAAAGATAAAAGTGTATGTTAATATTATACTCCAGGAAATTAATAATAAATCTGCACTTAGACATCAATTTGAGTTAAATAGTTTTCAAAGCTAGCCACCATTGGATAGTGCCAACCCAAATCCTCAAGTATTGTAAAACTCTGCAGAAAATGAAATTCCAAGACAGATCATGCCATTATTTTTTATCAACCAGTCAGTCACACAGACCAAATTTTAGTAGAACGTAGTGAGAAACAGGAAGTACAACTTTCCAGGGAGAAATCCACACCCCATGAGACCTCCTGATCTCCTCTTTCCCTTACTTCCCTAGCCAGCATTTCTGTCAAGGTCATTCACTTTCTACTAGATGAGATTTTTAAGGGAAAAAAAAAATCTCGTAGTCTATAACCAAGTGGCCAATTGGTAAAATTCCTGAAGCTATTTTCATTTCAAATACCACAAAAAAATTCCACAAATGCATATCTTACAGTGGAACAGTGCAACATTTTAATGCTAACCTGAAAATTGACTGCCCATAGCAGTGAGAACATTTTCTACTACTTTCTATGTACCCAGCCCTGCTCTAGGCAATCAACTCATTCTCCCGGCAGTTAGGAGGTGGAACGTATTCTCAAACCCACCACTGTGACACGGGGCTGTCCAT